ACTAACCGTGGGGAGCAGGAGAGCGGAAAAAGACCCATATGCGTAGCGGCGAGACGGGAAAAAGACCCGGGCTCATAGTGCAAAGAGTTCAGGAATGCTGTATTGAAACCTACGCCCTCAGGGAGCGGACGTGGGGCGCCCTGGTGCTAGGTGGGTCTCAGGACATCCGAACGTCAATGCTGAGCGAGGACAGAGTGCAAGACCCGGAAATATATAGCCCAAGGGAAAGAGAGGGACTGGAAGGACAGCAGACCGGAAACTAGGGACAGGACAGAGAAGGAGCGCCCTCTGGCTGCAGAGGGTGTGACAGCTCCCCTTTCTAATCTCTTCAAAAGACACAAGTTGTTTAAAGGATAAACAGTGAAAAGTTGGCAATGACTGCATGTAAGAAAGGTTAAAAACAAAAGGCATCCATTCAACTAAGCTAGCTCTTTTGGACGTTAGTAGTTAATTGATCTCATCCAACTGTGTGTTAAAAAAAGCCAGGATATCCTGTGTATAGAAAAGTACATCCTGCTTGTATAGATTCCTCTTGTGTCGTATGTTTAATTTTTACTGCTGATCCTGATTAAGTCAGCTGGATTGATTTTGTTGTTTGAGAATTTTGAATACTTGAATCAAATTCCTTTGTAGCCTTCTTTGTATAAAACAAAAATGTTGAGTTTATTGATCCTGTCAGCTCACGAATGTATCTAGTCGATGTTCTCTGGGGTGATTGTCCAGAAACAAAATCTTCATATGTAATGTAGTGACCAAAATTACTCACATTCTAATTCAGATTTTACTTGTGCACTGTACAATTTTAATGTGCTTGATTTAAAGTCTACATTTTTCACTATACATCTTAATATTATGATTGCCTTTTTATTACTTCCCCAAATTGTCTCGAAAACATAAATGAGGATGTACTGTAAATGATGTGTCAGCATAAAGACCTTTCTTGAAGCTCTGTGATGTGCATCTTATATTTATATATTAAAGTTTACCTATATGAAGGCAATAATCTGCACTATACTACTTCATTCTTTCATCTGCCAAGTGTTTGCTCAGTTTTGTCTTTTCGAAGTCCACAGTACAGTACATATCTCTTAGTATTCTTCTGTTTCTAAATCATCACTCTTGATTTACACTCTATAAAAACAAAACTGTTTTTTAAATTCAATCGATACAGCTCATTCAATGTAGTTTGACATATAAAGTATCATGTATTGTTATACTGAAGGGGCATTTTAGAATAAAGATGAATGAAATGTTATGATTATTTGAAAAATGTTTTAAATCACCAGGGGTATTTATGTTCCAGTTCATGGAATTATAGTTCTGTCTATAAAATTGCAAACATGGTTGCAAATATCAACAAACATGACTAATTCTACCATTCAATTATGGGTACATATGTTCTGTGCACAATGTGTTACTTATTTGTTTAGAAAATGTGTTGAGAGCTAATCACAGTATACATTTTAATTGTATAGCATGCTTTAACATCAAAGCATGAGGATTATATCCAGTAAATACAAATAAGGTGTTATTATTGTTGGTTTCAGCACAATGTCCACGACTGATTGGATCTTGAGCAATAAAGTGGAACTGTATTCACGCTACTCACACTGGTGGTGAACTTGCTTGTGTGTGAAACACAGTAGGTATGTCTGGCACAACTGTCTTGGCAGTTTGTCACAGACAGAAGGGCGACTTCCAGAATGACAGAATGTCTGGGAGATACAGTAAGTGAGATGTCAGTGATCAGGCTTATAATAGCATGTGATGTCTTGTCGAGTGATAACAGCTCCAGCTTTAAAACCCCACATTTGAATCATGTCACTAAAAATGAGACATGCTGACATGAAAAAACTCCTTGGCTGCATCTGCACATGTTTTTGATTTTAGAGTAGCAGGTTTGCTTTCACTTTGCGGATCTGAGAGGGCCAGTGATCCTCTAGTTTTAACTAAATGTTATGGTACAGTGTGTGTGTGAGAAGTCATAAATGGTACAGTGTACCTGTGAGAGCCTGCATATTACTCTCAGATCACCTTTCACTCTAAATAAGTGATGGGCTTGCATCTTAAACATAATACTATTATAGTTTTGTTTTATCTCTGCTTTTAAGATATGTTTATGATCAAAACAATTTGTGGGTGATTAATAATCCCAGCCGAAAAGTCCAGGTTTTGTTCACTTGCAGGTTTTTAGTTCACTTACTAACTTGTGTAACATAATTGACTAAATAACTCACATTTTGAACTGTGTGTAAATTAAATTCATTAGCAGATGTCATGGAAATATACCTAAGGAAGCCACAAGAGAGAGTTCTCAACTGAGTAAGGTCTTTATTTCAATATTGCAGTATTGGGAGCCCTGCTGTCACTCTGCAGAGTGCATCAGAGACTCCACTTGCTACAGGCAGTACGGGCTTTTTATAAAGATGTTGTAATGCACTGGAAAAATACAGCACTTAGTCCCCATCTAATACTTCCCTTTCCTTAGGACCAGTAAAATAACAACATAGAAACGAAATAAGAAGCGCCTGACAAACTGTCTTCTGACAATCTGCATGTACAGTAACTCAGCAGTTACATCCTTGTTATATATTTTTCTAAAGCTATTTACATTTTAAGAATCAATTTACCCATTAGATTTCCATTTCACAGCATTACCAAATCTTTATCTGAAAATGAGGCAAAAGCTTGTGGTGAATTTATTTAGCATTTTCCGTGTTTCTGAACTTATATTATTTCTACGTAATTTCCTTTGCATCCTCTATCATCTTCTAATTCATTAAATCCTTTTTCTTTGCAGCAGAATAAATATTTTTTTTAACAATTTGAGGGTCCATATGGCACCAGACATTAACATTTATGCATTATGGTTGTCTATTGAAGGCTAGAATCTGTACAATCTTTAAAATATTATCTTTCAGCAGTTAGTGCATCATGCATTTATCCTTTGTAGTGTCACTCACAGTATGTAAACTAGTACAGCGGTCTTCCAGTAAACATGCTGTATTCCCCAATTCTATATAAAAAATAATGCAAAATGCACAAGTTGTCACTGTAGATTTTATCAATGATAACTGTTACATGGTTATCTTTCAGAAAATCATATGCAGTGTTTCAGAACTGGATGCCGACTGTGTCGATAATGTTAATATTGATGTTTGAATACAAAACCCCTCTGGAACAGTCATGTGGTGGTACTTGTTTACTTGAAAGCATCTGTTCATTTGTGCTGTGACAAATGCCCATAGACGTTAAGCTAATTTCAGAAAGCCAGCCTTTAAATAATTCTTTAAGGCATAAAGCCCAGTAATAAGAGTTCATTGACATACAAACAGTTCTGATAATCATATTATAGTAATACTGTACGTACATTAAAGAAGCTTAATTTTAGTACAGCTTGCCTCAGCCTTTTATAGGAGGAATGCAGGTAGTTTGTGCTAGTCTTTTTGAAGACTTTAAGTATTTAGTGCTCCATTTTCTAAGTCATCCTGAGCACACAGTATTTCTCTGTTCCTAAAGCTCTATTATACCATTTCTTTAGATTCTTGTATTATGGATTCTTGCTTTAATCAACTAAATAATTGATTAATGGAGAAGTTATTCACCCATTAAAGTAGTTATTGATCATCCAGATCTGTCTGAGTATGATGCTCTTCGCGTACAAATGGCCCCATTCACTGATGAGAACCACTTGTATCTATGGTAATAGTTTTACACAGTAGTTACAACTTCTTCATCATAAATTTAATTTAAATGTTATTAAATTTTAGCTGCAATGGTTTCTCTTCATCTCATAGTTGCAATATAACTTTTTGTGTTTAATGGAAATTACAATCCATTCATTTGTCATACGCATTCTTCTTAAATTAATAAAATTCAGGGTGGAAACTATTAATAATTTAGTGTTTAGCAGAAGACTTGAAACAAGCTCTCCAGCTATGTGGCCATAGTCTATAATATCGCTTCTTGTGAGAGACAGCTGGTAGAGACTGTGCGATCAGTTACCTACTAAAACCAAACCAACTAAGCTAAGTGGCTGGTTTGCATACTTTCTTATTTGAGAACTGCTTCCTCGCATTCCTGAATGCTGAACTGGGACGCCTTCTGTGTGGTGTTTTTGTGAGGGTTTTCACTGGGTGCTGCAGTTTCCCTCCACCTTCCAAAGACATGTTGGCTAGGAAGAAAAGTGTTTCTAAATTGTCTGTGAGCGTGCTTGTGTCCATGTGCGTGCCTTGTGACATGCTGGCATCCTGTCCAGGTGCAGTTCCATCTTGCGTCCTCTGCTTCTGGAACGTGCTTCAAGTGGCCTAGACCCTTACCAGGAATAAGCAGCTTGGTGATAGCGAATGGTCATGTTTCTACTTAATTTTAGATGTGATTGATGAGTTTAGCTAGATAATTGCTTACACTTATAAGGTGCTTTTCTGGACACTCCACTCAAAGAGCTTTACAGGTTATGGGGTCTCCCCTCCACCACCACCAATGTTCAGCCCCACCTGCATGATGCGACAGTGCGTCAGTACGCTCACCACACACCAGCTCTCTGTGGGGAGGAGAACAGTGATGAGGCCAGTTCAGAGATGGGGATTATTAGGAGGTCATGATTGGTAAGGGTCAATGGGAAATTTGGCCAGGACCCCAGGGTAACATCTCTACTCTTTTTGAGAAACACCATGGGATTTTTAATGACCTCAGTTTTACATGCCAAAGGACAGCGCCTTTTAATAGTAAAGTGTCCATATCAACTATCCTGGGGCATTAGGACCCACACAGGCCGCAGGTTGAGCACCCCCTGCTGGCCCCACTAATACAACTTACAGCAGAATCCTTTGCTTTTCCCAGGAGTCTCCCATACTGACCAGGCTCACACTTGCTGAGCTTCAGTTGGTTGCTGGTTGTGAGCTGCAGGGTGAAGAATACTTTTTGAAGAAAGTATCCACGAGCATACCTGCAGCATTGTTGACAGGAAATACAACAAACCTGTTCTTGTTGTTTTTCAGGTGATTTATGCCCTGAACACCAAATGCGACGAGCACGACTCCTCGCTTCAGGCTCTGAAGGAGGCACACCAGGAAGAGATCGAGCAGATCATGGAGGAGACTCAGGAGAAGATCCTGAAGTACAAAAGCCAGGGGGAGGAGGAGACGGACCTGCACCAGCGCCTGCAGGCCATGGAGGAGACCCTGGAGCAGTATGAAAGGCTGAAGGACGAGGCGCTTACTGACTTTGAGACATACCGCCGACAGACTGAAGAACGGGAGCTGAAGTCCCAGACTGAGCATGCCGAGCGCATCATGGCCCTCTCCACGGAGATGGTGGACCTGAAGAAGGACTTCGAAGGCAAACTCCAGGCTCTCGCTGGACTAAAGGAGCAGCTGGAACAGGAGAAGGAGAAGGCCCAGGCCGAACTGGAGAGGACCAACCAGGAATCCCAGAGCCTGCAGGATGAGTGCCGGGAGCTACGTAGAAACAGCATGGGGGAGAGGAGCCGCTTGGAGGAGATGTGCCAGACCAGGACAAGAGCCCTGAGAGAGGAGCTGGAGCGGCTCAGGGCCGAGAGGCTCAGGCTGGCCGAAGAGTTTGAGCAGAAGGTGAGCAGCTTGAAGGCTGCTCACCAGGAGGAGCAGGAGTCCCTGAAGAGAACGCTGCAGCAGTCGCTGACCGACACGCTCACACAGTGGCAACAGAGGGAGCTGGAGCACAGGAACGCCATGCAGGCTTCTCTGCAGCAAAAGCTGAAGAGGATGGAGGGGGAGCTGGAAGCCAAAGGGCAGCAGCTAAACGAATGCAGGAGGCATTCTCTGAAATTACAGGACAGGATGCAGGTAGAACTATGCCAGGGCATGTGAACTAGAGCGTGCGGATTCACACTTTCCTTTAATATAAAATTATGTCTGTATAGTTAGCTGCTTCTTCAAATAATGAGAGCACTTTCATTGTTAGAATTGGCATTCTTGTCTTTTAGCGGTATTGCTGATACACATTTGTGGCATGTTTGTATTTCATTAGTGCTTCAGTTATTTTTTCTGACAGTACCTGGGCCCTTCTTCAAGTTTGATATGCAAAGGAAAATGTGAATTCACTTGAATGCTGATAGGCTTAATAACATCAAAAAGAATAATACATAAAAGGAAATACAAAACGTAAATATATAAGAAAAATAAATCCAGTATGAAGTTAGAATTTAGATAACTTTTTCACAAGATTTCAATTAATATGTCCGTGATACTTCCTGCAGTGCTTTGGTGTTTCAGGGACAGAATAAGGCCAGATGAAAAAGTGTTATGAAATGTTCAAAGATACTTCTTTGAAGACTTGGCCAAAGGGTTGTGGGAGTATGGAAGAGGCTATCCAGCTATGTTGGTGTAGTTGATATCCTGACTTCTTTCAGAAAACATCTGGTTGAGATTCTCTAATCAATTAACTACTAACTACTAAATAGGCTAGATAGGTTGAAAAGTCTGCTGTCTTTTGTAATCTGCTTTATGATCATTAGGTACAACAAATTAGATGTTCTGAAAAAACAATTATTATTTTGTACCATTACCATTTTTGGAGCTCTCAATGCAGTGTCTTGTTTGCCCCTTGATCATTAGGATTTGGAAACGCAACTAGAGGAAGCACACCACAAAGTTGCTGAGGCTGTGGCCAGTATGAAGAAATCAGAGGAGGAGATGTCTGTGGCCAAAGAGAGACTTATTCTGCAGGAAAATGAATTACTAAACAAATCAGGTAAAGGAAGTACTATAACAGGATTGTTGTTGCATACAAGAAAATACATCAGATTTTCAGTTTGATACCTGGTTACCAGCTTCATAAGGCAGATTTCAGTGTCACATCAGGCCCTTAACTACACCTCAAGGTTAATTTCATGGGTGGGAAGGCTTAGTTTTGAGGATATTTGGATCCTGACCTAAAAAGCAACATGTGCAAGTTCACGTGTGAGCAGTGTAGCTCCTTTCTGGAGCTGATGTTCATTAGTGGTCTCTTGTATAACATCCCTACCAATTAAGGAATTGAAGAAAGGAATGTCCTCTTATATGAACTTTTCTTAAAGGGGTACTGCCACAGGTATTTTGGGGTTAGAAAGCAACAGCATTGATGAGTGCATTTCATACCACAATAAAAATCACTTGTAAAACCTCCAATTAAAACCACAAAATAGGCAGACCAATACTACTTACTTATTAACTCTGTATGCAGATCACGTTCGAACATTTCTGTGGTGAAATGCCTGCTCCACAACTTATTTATTATTAACACAACGTATTTATTTGCTTGTACATCACATTACATTAGTCATTACAGGGACTAGTAAGCAGGAAGGGCTGTATCACGTTGGAATTCATGGTAACTTGGGTGAGTTTGCAATGAGGTGGTGACTTACGGTACTTTAAGTTTGTGATTTTTGTGCTTAATTCAAAATGTTTTGTTACCGAGATTTAATAAACCATCCGAGAAACTGGGACTGCAGTTCCCCTTTAAGTTACATGATGAGTATATTAGTAACTCTGTTCTAACTGATGAATAATGATAATTAGCTCTGCTAATGATTTTCACACTATGTATCAGCATAACAGTTTTCACCTTTGTGAAAACAAACACTTACACACATAGTATAGGTATCCTTTGTAGATATTTACTAAATATATTCTGCTCTTAATTCTATAAACCACAACAAATTTTTTGCATGGCAGTAATATCTAAACTATAAAAATTCAAGCATGGAATATCCATTGACCTTAAATTAGTCTGTTCATCACCACTGAAAAAGATTATCTTTTAACACATTGAAAATATTTGCAATGCACAGTTATCTTGGAAACACAAATTACCTTGAAATACACAAGAAATAAGTGTAAAAAAACAGAAATGGATAGGCTCTCACTATCCATGAGTGATGGCTACCCACAGTTAAAGTGCAAAGATTGTCTTTAGTGGCTTACCCAGAGTGCCATTGCATTGGCATATACATAGATTTAAATCTATACAAACTTGATTTAGTTTGAAAGAGGGGTGAAGTAAGGTTTTGAAGTGAAGGCAGAAGATCTCATGTTGGAAACATGAATGTTTGAGATTTACTGCTGAAAAGCGTTAGACCTTGTCACCATTTCCTGCATCAGAAGCTCCAGTCAGTCTTGGAACATTCAGCATAGATACCAAATTGAATCCTTCTCCAAGCAAGAGAACCATTTCTTCCAACATGTGATATACACCGTGTACCATCAAATAAAGTCTTTTCACTTGATCAGAGTTCATAAGAGTGAAGCTCAGGATTACAATTTATTTAAACGACAATTTGCATCCTACGTGTAATTTCAAAAGCTATTAACAGTTATGAGTACATTAAATATTTGGCTCATTATTATGCAAACAGGAGAGTTTTAGAAACAACCTCTTTGGTCTGCTTCACTTGTTTTATTTTCTACCGCATTCGAAGACCATTTGGCGTAACATTCACTTTACTTCCTCACTAAACAGAGGAACTGCTGAGCCAGTGCTCGTCCCAGAGTAAGGCATCGGCACAGGCGGATGAGTTCAAACGCCAGGTTCTTCAGCTGCAGAAACGCGTCAAAGAGCTGGAGCAGCAGGACGGCGGGAAGGCCAGCGATCACGCCCAGCACGTGAAACAGGTTCGAAGGGGGAGGATCAGCTGGCAGGAAGATTTTAGGCCGGTGTCAGGTTTTATTGATGAGGTGTCCAAGGTATCATTTATAGGCCATTATCAAAAACACTCATTCACCCTCAACGCCCTTTTCCTTTCTAGAGGAATTTGAGTTTTAGGTCAAGGAGATGGGATCCTGAATGTTTTTTTTTGCTTTTGTGGGGATGTGGAGTGGGTTAAACTTGGTGGGAAGTAAGGTTTGTCTTCGTATTTCTTGCCTTGGGTGCCAAAGTATCATGGGGGGGTTCAAAGATTTCCAGGGAAGCCCCTTTCCAATGCCTCATTCTAGTGCTAGACCTGATTTAGACATTCAACAGCATTACGTAACAAAGGCAAAACAATTTCCCCAGTATTGAACAGTTGAAGTTAATTCTTTATCTGAGCTCTTGTTCTCTTTTTTTCTGTGTGGTACAACAATCATCTGGCTAAGAAGAGAGTCCTGTTTCTGTATGTTGGAATCTGATTGGAATAGGTCCACTGCAACCTTGAGAGTTCACGAATGTGTTTGGTTTGCAGCATGTGGAGGCCCTTTCTGCACAGAAGCAGGAGCTGCAGAGGGCTCACGTGGAAGAGGTGAGGCGGGTCAGGAGGCAGACGGAAGAGGAGAAAGCCCGTTTGAAGGAGCAGCTCATGAAGAAACTGGAGGACCTGGTGAAGAAACACACCGCTGAGCTCAAGTCAGTTCAGACTACCATGGAAAATGAGAGAAAGGCTAAAAAGGTGGGGACATACCTTATTACCACAGCAGTATGCATTGTACTGTCACTGAACTATTACTGTTATTCTTATTTTTGTGTGTTTTAATAATTTTATTTGTAGGTCAAATAGATGTTTCAATCTTCTAACTGACTCTAGATTTTGCTTCACCCATTTCTAGTCATATAACACAGTTATATGTTCATAAACTGTGTTAACAAGAAGAATGTGCAGTGCCTTTCAATTGTGGACTTGCTGTTTTTTTCTGTACTGTATGTACTTAGTTTCTTGAATTGTCATTTGAAATTCAACCTCACATATGTCCTTCATAGAAATTGAAGACAGATCTTGATCTCCCCAATCAGAAAGAGACATCTTTGCAATGAGCTAACATGGAAAGTCTTTGTGTTTTTTAAGAGGCTGTGACACTGAGAAATTGGCACAACCTGAATTCCTGTCACCTATCAGTAGACGTGAAGACTATTTAAATCTCTGTTCAGAATCAGGAAAATTATAAACATAGTTTCATGTTCTCTTGCAGGATCTCCAGACTCAGGTTGAAGAGCTGAAAAGGAAAATGGAGAGTGAGAGAAACAAGCTTGAAAAAGATAAGAAAGATATTTCCAGCAGATTGGAAGAATCTGTCAGTGAGGTAAAACCACAGAGCTCTGGCATTTATTGCGTTTCAGTCTCAAGCACTGTATGGAGCAAGTTCTCGGCACCAGCAAATATCAGATATAGCTTATAGCCTTGTGCTTCATTGCACAAAATGTATTGTGTGTATTTCCAAGTCATTTTAAGTATACATTTTGAGGAATAAAAATGTAATTGATGCAACAGGGAACTTTCAAGCGATAAAGTAAAACCTGAATAAAAGGTAGTTTTTCTGTGTTCTTGTGGATGAATAATAATAATAATAAACTTTATTTTATATAGCGCCTTTAAAGGTGGCTTCTCAAAGGGCTTTGAAGGAGTGGGAGCTTATAAACCTCTCATCATATTTCTCCGGTTCCTTCTTGACAATATGTCAATATCAGAAATCTCATTTTCCTCTGAATATGTGCCTATAGAACAGTAAATACAGTATATATTATATACTGCATGTATTCATAAAGATTGAGAGGCATTAAAATTAAATTAAATTAAATGAGTATTTGTTGCATTTCATTGCCCCTTACATAGATATATATATAACTATAACAGTCTTGGAGTAGGGTGATTAAATGTTTGCAGTTATATAACTCCATATCAGAATAATACATAAATGCAGATCTTAAATAAACCATTGTAAATTAACCGTTTTGAAATGATTAGATTTGAGTTGTGGTATGTAATACAAAACTGGTATATTGCAAGTTTTATATATTGTTTCCAAAAGAAGGGTTTCATGGCAACATCTAAGAAGTAATAACATTCACTAGCCCCACTGCTCAAGGAATACCAAACTAGGTCATGTGGCTTCTTCAGCATTTTGTGAACAGTTTGGTAGTAATGAAACAAACAGGCAGCAGATCAAAAACAAGCATTAAACACACTACAAAGACACACAAGATATAAAAACCAATATTTGCAAGGTAATATGATAGAAGGGAGTACCTTGAGCCCATTACCTTCAATGAGCCTTTCCCACTAGAGAGCTGACTGTGACCATCCCAATGCTCTCAGAAGTAGAGCTGAGTCTCTGTAAGGCTCAGGGAGACTGCTTTCATAAACCTGATAGTCCACCACAGGGGAGCCTGCCATATATACTGATAATAAAAAGGACACAACCTTTGCCGCCTCTCAAAGTTTACATTGAATTGACAAATGCCCAATGCCATACAGGTATCAGTTCATCAAGGAGGAATCCAGAGGTAACTTGAACAGTAGTTGTGACAATAATACAACAACACCCCTTTATGACTGTTTTTCCAGAAGCTCAATGTGCTGTACAATAGCACACATATAATTCGCAACTGAAAAGTAGTTGCAGGCTGCATCTTGATCGCTCCTTGTCCCTTCTCTTGCTGTATTCTCTCTGTTCTGATGTTTGCTGTCTGTTAGTTTCAAGGCAGCTTTGTTGATATGGGCAAGGCTCACGAACGTCTAGAGAAATCCCAGGCCCACATTTGCCCGGCTATCTGTCTAGCTCACACTGATGCTATTTATTATCCTATTGAGAAGAAAGAGCAACTGACTGATATGTTGACCTGCCATCTGGTCACTTACATCTTTCGCTAACTAGATATAATCTCGCTCAATGTTGCAAATATCTCAGCACCTCTCTGTCTAGCAATTGTAGCTATAGCAGTGCCTCAGGTCATCTTTAACATAAGGAGCACTAATTGATTATATTATTAGTAATCAATATTTGCCTTTATAAGATCCCTAATACACAAAAATAAAGAGTAAATGTTTTATGTAAGATGTTATTATCTAGATCTCTAGGCTGAAGTCTCTAATACAATGCAGTGAGTGCAGCACTGAGCAAACAGCACCTCCAGAGGCTCCTTGCACAGAGCACCGTGAGAGGTGGAAGGGGGAGCTGCATCAGGCAAAGCTCATCATCGCTAAACTGAAGGTAAAACAGCTTCACTGCAGTCGTGTTCACTCCAATGCAAAAAAGAGCTCTGGTGGTGCATTGGGACCTATTTCTCGCACACTGAAAGTCAAATGAATTAAGAAAAGTCTCATTAGAGCAGATTTGTCCTTCAGGCAGATTGGGTAGCTTGTTTTAATAAGCTAGTTAGTTGCGCATGATGTTTTTTTTCCTTCATTTTTTCCTCTTGCAGTTCCCAAAATATCATTATGTATCTTGTATCCATGTTTTTCAAATCATATTAGCTCTACAAAAGAAGATATATTTTCTTATCAGAACAACGCACAAAAGGTGTCTTATTTGCCATGTATTTTTCTGGTTGCATCAGTGATTCTGGTCTCCTACAAATAATTTGTCTTATAATACTCCCTCATGTTGTACCTTTAAAAACAAAAAAAAATAGTTTTGTGTTGAAAGAGTTGATGAGCAATTCTAAACAATAGGTAGATATTATTAGAAAATTATTAAAAAGCTGTTGTGATTTTAAAACCATTGCCATTGTTAACTTGTGGTATTTTTTTTGCTCTGTCTCTTGCACTTATCTGGAAGCAAAAAAAATCTGTTTCAGTGAAAGATCTCTTATTACTAAACAGCAAACTCACAGCTGAAGAACAGTAACAGTACTTCAGGCTTTGGAATTACAAATGAGCAGGCACATCAGTAGCTAGGGGATTTCTGCTAGGGAATTCTGCAGAGGTAGGTCAGATGTACTAATATATGTCTCAGAGCAGCTAATTATGTAAGATTAGCGTATTCAGTTAATGAAAGCTGCATAAATAACAGAGGGTGATACAAGAAAAGCATTTTGATTTAATAAGGCGATAGAGGAAGTGCGGGTAATGATAAAGCACAGGTAATGTACTATACTGTACCTGAGACAAATACACAGTTCACCACAATAGACTTGCTTAAATGTTTCTAAAACCAACAAAGTGGTTAATGCATATGTCTTGAATGTAGTGGATTTAAAAATTAAATCTGTGTGTTCATTTTCTGTGGAATCTACTTATACCGTTTGTTGGCAAATAGCATGGTGTAGCAAAAATAGGGGAGTGCCCATTAATATTAATCAAATTCTGCTGTTCAGGAGGAGCTCAAACAGCAGGAAGAAAAACACCACATAGATATCACAGCTCTGAAAAAAGAAAAAGACAAGCTTGAAGAGAAAAGTTTAAGACAGGTGGAGCGAAGTCATGAAGAACAAATGAGGTACTTTGACAGGAAACAAAACGAGTGTGCTTAAATGACATATAAAGTAAATGTGCAGCAAATCTAATTGAGAGGATTTAATCTAATCCTTTAATCCATCCATTCATTTTCTAACCACTTTATCCAAGTCAGGGTGGTAGGGGAGCCGGAGTCTATCCAGGCAAGCAAAGGGCACAAGGCAGGGTACACCCTGGGCAGGACGCCAGTCCAGTGCAGGAGACACAGACACAAACGTGCACACACTCACGCCATTTTCCCAGAAGCCAATTAACGTACAGGTATGTGTTTGGACTGTGGGAGGAAACCAAAACACCAGGAGAACATACAAACACATGGAGAAGATACAAACTCCACGCAGACAGCATCACAGAAATTAAGCTAGGCCTCAGTGACAGGAGGTAGTCATGCTAACCACTGCGCCACTGTGCTGCCCTAAATTAGTCCACATTTATGTTTTTAAGTTCAATTTTATGATTTATATTGGTATTTAAATATATGATAAAGACATAAACCTTATATCTGAATTTAAGGTGGATGTACTGTACTTATGACAAGGCTTATTCTGCACTGAGCCTGTTATTTTAGGCTGCACCTGGACATCACAGGAGGGAGGCAGGATCAAATTGTATACAGGCATATACAGGTTTACTGCTACAGCTCAATCTATGTACATTGTTTTCTGTCTTTCTAGTCAGGGTAAGCAAGATGATCAGGAAAGACCCTTGAATAACCCTTGAAAACAGCTTCAAACTTCAAACAGTGGTGCAATTAAAGACACACCCTTGTTAGTAATATACTGTAGATTTGCTATAAAGAAAGCATAGTCTTGTACAGATTACAAGAGGGAGAAAGGGTATAGTGTATGTTATTTCTACTTTAGAATTGTGCACCATGAAATGTGGAGTATTTTAGATAATGTGTAAGCTGATTGCTGCTCTGTTGAAGTTTCTGATGTGGTTAGACAATCTCAGAGTGAGAAGAGGTCTTCAGATAATCGGGTCATGTTCTTTTAGGCCAGAGCATGATCAGCTCGGGTGTGAGCACCCGAGAAAAGACCACAGAGAAGAGCATCTGACTGCCCTGAGCCAGCTGCAGAAGGACAAGGACGCAGAAATCAAGGAATTAGAGGCAAGCTGGCAAAACAAAATGAAAGACCTGCAGTCACAGGTACCAGATATGATTAAAGCGCACATTAAAACAACACTACCAAGATTATTCACACTACTTCAAACTTTCAGAAGAAGGTTTCAAACGATAGGAGGCCATTTGGCCCATTTGAAGTTAAGAGCTAATTGATTTAAGGGTCTAATTAGTCTTTTCAACAGCTTCAGCAACATGAATGTTCAATAAATCCTACAATCCTTTGTGTGCCAAAAGTGCTCTCTCTTCACAGAAATGAACTTATTTCCACATTGTTCTCACTTTTTTCCTTTGGTTTGCATTTGGTGCGATCAAATGTATGCATGGAATCAGCTAAAATAAAATGTACTTACTGTATTTATTGTACTTATCTCATATTAATCTCATCTCAATTACTCAACTGTAAAGCAAAGAAATTTGAGTTTGCTGTCCCAATACTTTCTGGGGAAAATGTAGTTTACAGTTCAATTGACCTTAAACTGGAACTGCAGAAACAAAAACATCTTCAGTAATGCATAGCGATACTAAGGTTTCCTTATTTCCAACTGAAAATCTTTCCCTTTGCTTATCTTCTTGTGATGAAGATTGAAGAACAGAAGATTAAATCTGGGACAGAGGGCAGTTATCAAGGACCGGACCAGCTCACCAAAGAGGTTGAAAACTTGAAGCTGGAGCTCCAGGAAACCAAGAGAATAAACCAGAGCCTGCTTGCTCAGCTCGAAACTGTCACTCAAGGGAAGCAAAAAAATATAGAAAACCATGAACTTAAGGTAAGAATACCAATGATGTAGTTTGCCAAGTTGTTAAAATGAGCTAGTTGATAAGAGTTTTAAATTACTGTTTGGGAGGAGCCTAAAATATTAATCTCAATTTCCACATTCCTCCGCATACTGTAAAGATCCCAAATTTGAGGTATCTACTTGTGAGTATCTACACCATGCGCAATCTTTTCTCCACTCCATCTTCACCCTCTCAGCTCCTCCCTGCTTCAGTCCTCACTACGAGGGCCTGGTCGTGACGCTTGCTGCTTCCTCAGCTGGGCAAGATTAATTCAAATCACGCATTTTCCCTGTCTTCATTAGGGTTTGGGCCCAGACTGCTGAAAGAGCTTTTTCCTGCTTTTTTTTAAAATGTGTAAACGTGTGAGATGTTTCTTGGTACCATAGCGTTACTTTATCCTGACCGCTTGTGTGTTTTGCTCAGGAGGTGGAAGGGCGTCTGTGGTGGCAGTATGAGGAGGCTCTCAGGGCTGAGAAGCACTCTCACCAGCTGGCCCTGCAGGCCCTGGAGGAGTCGGCCCAGGCCGAACTGCAGGCCGAGCGGCAGAGGCAGCAGGAACGGCAGAAAACCCTCCTGGGTAACCGCAAAGCCCAGACAATGTGGATTTCAGTATTGGCACAGCTGCGAACCTCTGATTCCAAACTATTTCAAGCTGGAGAAATTAGTTCTTTTTTATTTACTTTAGAAGCCCTTCTTTTTTTTCAAGAAATTTCTCTAGTAGGTGATATTTAAGGGCAGACATCATTTTAATGTTTTATGACAAAAGCAGCGATTAAAAAATTAAAAATGTGAAATGATAGTTAACTGTTTATTGTTTTAAAATCCTGATATGTTAGCAAAAATCTAAATATTGCTGATAAAGTTTGATGAAACAATCTTTACAGCTTCTACATTGCACAAACCGGAACATAAAAATAATTTTCTCTTTAAGCAGAGCCTGGCAAAGACGACAGTAACAGAATAATTTGTACTTTCAATAATGTGACATCCTAGCACTTAAATAAGTAAACCAGGAGTATGTTATATATTTGAGAAGTTTCAGTGTCTTTGTGATATGTGTTTCTGTCTTCTGTAATCCAGAAAGACAGAAAGCAGAGCTGACTCAGCAGCATGCAGGCTGGTGTAAACAGGTGGCGCAGAGACACATGAAGCAGATTGAGGAGCTCCAGGCAGAGCTCAGGACTCACACAGAGCTCATGGCTCTGCAGCAGGTTAGTGAGGCCAGTCTGGATTATGGAGCTGCATGATTAGTGAGCAAACTCATGACCAGTGCTTCACTTCTGACCCAAAACATCATGCAAACTGCTCAAGCCTTAATGCTTTTGGTATGCACTGATACGGTATAGGGTAGCGGGTTGCATAGGACATAGTACCCTGGGATTCAGTTCCTGGGGTTCTATCTGTGTTTGTAAGTTCTCCTTTGTTCACGTGGGTTGTCCAAAGACATAAAGCTTGATTATTTGGCTTCTGGGAAAATTGGCCCTGGTGTGAGTGTGTGTCTGTGTTTGCATCTATCTACGCTCAAATGAGCTGGCATGACATCCAGGTTGTATCCCCCCCTTACACCCTTGCTCTTCAAGATTGGCTTGGGCTGTTCTGTGACCCCTGCATATTGGATAAAACAGTTCAAAAATGGATCGATGGATGATTCAGTATAGTTACAAGAAGGATAGTGTCTCTTGATTCAGGGTTATTGACTATAAAAGGAGAAAATGTTTAAATCTGCATTATGTTGCTTACTAGAGTAATGTTAGTGACCCAAGCGTGGTAATCAAACATTGTAGTAAATCTGTTTAATCAAACTCATGATATCAGTAAGCCAAATTTTCCCCTGGCCTTTACCATTCATGGCCTTCTCATCCTCATGTCTGCATTGACGTGATCACTTTGTTCTCCCCACTGAGAGCTGGTGTGTGGTGAGCGTACTGTTGCACTTTGGCTGCCATCACGAGTGTCCTGAAAAGAGCTATATAAATGAAAAGAATTATAATTATTATTATCTCATCCAGGCAGTGTAGGTCATTTCCCTCAAGCCCTGGAATATATCTGGTTCTTGTCCTCTGAACTGCCTCTAGTACAGCAGTACCATTCATATAAAGTGACCCATGACCTGTCGTTTTTTTATGTGACTGTAGTTTACAAACATAAGCTTGATTTGGCGCAAGCTGATAACCTAATATAGGCAGCAATTGCATCTCGTAACTCGTACCTGTCGTCAAGCCACCCTCTGCTGTGTTTTTGTACAAGCAAAATCCATTCGCAGAGACATTCCTCTAAGACTACTTACTTAAAGGTTCAACCTTTTTACAAAAATCTTTTAAAATCAGAAAGTGAAGCTAGACACTAGGAATAATCAAGTAGGTAGCTGTGTCAGCAAGCGTAGGCTGCAGAGGAACAATTAAAGGTTAATTCGATGCTGAAAAGAGAAGAAAAGAGACACAACATTTCAGCTGTGGGGCCTTCTTTGGATGTGGCTAGGTTCCATAGCCGAAACGTTGTGTTTTCTTTTATTCTCTTTTCAGCATCGAATTAACCTTTACTTGTTCCTATTAGGAATAATCATCTAACAGTTTTTATCAGAATTCATTGTAAGTATTTTATTTACAGGGAACATTTCTTAAATGTCAAGCTTGATTAAACTTGGGAATGATGTAGTTGTTAGCGCTGCTGCCTCACAGTTCTTAGCTTCAGGTACAGTATCAGTTCTGGCCAGTGATGGCTTCTGTGTGGAGTTTACATGTGGGGTTTCTTTGGGTGCTCTTCTTCTTTCTCACCTCTTAAATGTACACCAGCTAAATCAGTTGCAGTCTCTGAACTGTGCTTGTGTGTGTGCCCTGTGAGAAACTGGAGCCCTGCCCAGGGTGGACTTTCACCTTACGCCTGGTGCTTCTGGTGTTGCCATGGCCCTAACCAGGAATTAGTGGATTTCTGAGGATTCATGGCTGTCTAGGAGCAAAAAAACCCCACCAGTTTTTAACTTGTAAATTTGAATTGGAAAACATAAAAGGATTATATCACATCATTGGTAGCTCTCCAGAGCCCTTCTTGAAGTACTTCATGGGGTTTGTGCACCAATCAGCTGCTGTCAGCCAGGAGAAAGTGATGGGTTCAATTGTTTCCTCCCATTTGAATTCCTTGTAATACAATTTTGTTCTGATAACATATGTCTAATGTCTAATGCCGTTGTATAAACTGACGTGTGGTTGGACTTTATTCATCACATCAGGATTTCAGGCAGCAAAGCCAAGTGCAGGCCTTTGAGAGACAGTTGGAAGAGTGCCAGCGTGAGGTCTTGGGGCTGAGGAAGGAAAACGTAGAACAGAGAGAGCAAATGGCCTGTCTCCGATCAGAGGTGGAGCTGAAGACACGGGAAATACAGCAGCTCCAGGAGGCAGAACAGCATCAGAGGAGGTGCATGCATATGTGTGGTGTTCTTGGTTGGGTATCTGGGGTATCCCTCCTAATCAGGTTCAGCATTAATTATTTGAATGTGGTTCTAAGATCAATTTCATATGATACAGTCAGCTAATGGACACTGAAACTATCAGCTTTAAGAAAAGCACGGTGATGTATTCTGACAACATATTTAGAACATAAGAATGGATACAAACAAGAGTAGGCCATTTGGACCATATAGCATTTTTGGTAGTTAGTAGTTATTTGATTCAAGGAACTCGTCCAGCTCAACCACATGGTTGGGTAGTGTGTTGCACACTCGTCCAAACCTTTGGATAAACCACCTAGTCTCGCTTTTAAATGCACTTCCATGTAGCTTTCACTTGTGTTCTCTAGTTTGTCTTTCACTGATCATTTTGAAGAAAACATTAATTATTTATAGTAAGTGTGCAAAACTGAAAGGTCAGCTGTTTTCACACCATTTGTAAAACAACCTCTGTCTTAAATACAAATATACTGTACACGACTAGTAGTCATAACAATTGTATAGAAGCAACTGGGATCAATTTGTAATTTTTTACTGATGTGATGTCTTCACATTTTCAGCCACTTTTAGAATGCTGAAGAAAGGATTCAGATGTCAGAGATTATTAACCAGTGGCCATTGAGACCATCTATAGCTTGTCTGCTTGTTTGTAGTTGGTTTAAGGATCTCATTCAGCCTGGGTATCAGCTTTAACAACATGTCTTGCTAACGTTTAGATACCACAGATACCACAACAATTTGTGTAAGAAATGTCTTCTCTTCTTAGTTCAAAGACAAAATCTTCCTTGTAATCTTCACTTGTGTTCACTGGTTCATGCTTCTGTTGATTCTAAAGAATATTGATTTGTCTTCATATCAATGTCTTTCAGGATATTAAATACTTGGATCAGATCCCATCATAGTTTCCTCTATACAAGACTAAACGATTAATTTTTTAAGTCCTCTTTGGACTTATTCAAAAGAAGGAAAAGTAACTGGGGGGTTACAACTGTACCCCATATTCTAAACTAATTGTGTTTGGAATAGATACTTTGTTTTTCATGTCTCTTAGCTCAAATCTATGTGCCTTTCAAGCAAACACAGGGAAGAATGAGTGTAAACAGATTCCTCTGTCCCGCCCCCTTCAATCCACTTGTCTAGATTCTGAATATGAATCTACAGAAGATCATTGACATAAGTTACAAGGACCATTGGTTCTGGTACAGTATCTCTGTAGTACTCCACTATTTATAACTCCACCTGACTGTGATAGCATTAGAGACTATTAGAGACTATTAAAGGTCTTGCACAATCCTTGCACTGTAGCACAGTGTTCATACTGAATGTTCAGTAGATCTTTAAAATAATAATGAAATTAACTGACAAATATAAAAAGATAACATACTTAATAGTTCGGCTTTATCTTGCCTGAATGAGGAAATGACAGCCCTGTTTGAAGATCACAGCTGAGGAATTAGCCAGGGAGGCAGCTGCAAGGGTGTAGTTGGGGTGGAGGGAGGGGTGCTGGGAAAGATGCAGGTTTTGGTAGGTGGTGAGTATTTATACTTAGTAGAGTGGAAGTATAAGATTAGAATTTGACCTCCTCCTCAATGTCTGTTTTGACTGTTAAGTAACACTGTTTAATGGAAATGTGTTTTTTAACTGTATTCCAGGTCATGGGAGGAAGACATACTGGCTGGGCATAATATAGAGGTCGAGTGTCTGAAACGGGATCATAGGAAAGAGATTCAGACCATTGTGTCTGACTTCAGCAGTGCTCAGACTCGACTGCAAGCAAGAATTGTCTCCTTGGAAACTGAGTATGAAGTATAAAGATCCTAATTTATAACTGTGAAAACTTTTCACTTTAGAATCTGAACAATTTGAGGGTGGAGGGGATGGAAATGTGTTCTCTTCATATCTTTAATGTATGAAACCCAAAGGCAATTAAAAAACTTAAAGTGATATCTTAGTCAGCATACACAGTTGTACATATTAGTTATTCATGGATAAATATTATGGAAATACATTTGTTGAAAGTATGTGAGTTTTTGTCTTGAAGGAATGTGTGGTTTTAACATAACATAGTTGTGACATTTGAAGTTTTTAGCTGTAAAATGTATCCTGAAATATAACTTCAGTAGATACATTTTTTATACCAAAACCTTGCCAGTAGCAACTTTCTGACACAAGAGGGACTTTACAATCACCTCTTGTAAAGGTCGCAATTACTTTCTACAGTGAGGAAAAATAACTTTAAATATACAGATGGACTATTTCAAAATATTTACATTTTAAAACAAAATCAGAATTGTAGTTTGAGGAGGTGTACTCTGTGTGTAGATGTGTAATAAGCTGGAGATCTTTAGGGTATAGCTTCTGATATTGTAATGCATATCCAAAATCTGGAGTTTTTGTTTGTTTGCTTTCATTGAAGATTAAAGGAAAAGGATGAAAATGCCAAGAGACAGGGGTCAAGAATGGACGATTTGCACATCATAGGGAAACTCCAGGATAAGCTTAGTGAGAGAGACCATGTTATTAAGCGACTTGTGGTAAGTAATCTCAAATGTCTAACAGCTTTCTAGATATGTACTCCTGAAACCGCAAATTCAAGATGTGATAGTGGACATTTCTCTGTTTCCCCCAAATATAATTGAACTGTGTGTAAAAATATAGTTAAGCTTCCTGCAGTACATTTTCTTTTAACCATGGAAATTAACTGAAAATGTCTTTGCTTTATTATATGTCCATTGGCATTATACTGAACAGGGCTTGTGAAAAGAAACCAAAAGAAAACTGTCTGTTCCCAAATTCCAGCAGGTTTTCTTTTATCACAGGAGGAGCGTAGATGTCATCAGTCTCCTCAGGTCAACCCAGAGGGTAGCATTGTTAAATCCTATGAAAACCATCCACATCCCGGGAGCTTAACCCCAACTTTGAAGGTAAAACACGAGTAGATAAAACAGAAACACAGAACCTTAATACCTTAATGCTTATCTAGCTGGCATTTATTGTTTCTGATGAATTATCATGGTTTGTTTTTATGATATGGATATGCAGTCTTCACTATATTTTACACTAGAGTACAAAAGGTAATGGTAAGGTATGCTTATGGTTCACACATGACCATCAGCTGATTTGTTTAGGTATTGATGAAATGCAAGAATTTGTATTTTTGTCTTGTCATGTAAATCTCTATTCACTGTAAGTTGTTGTTTGATGCTAGACTTGTAAATTATAGAACTGGTGTGAGTTTTTTTTGTTTTAATTGAGATCTAATAGGTGAAAACATTCCTACATGTCTACGTCTTGCCATAAATGGCAATGGTACTATACGTTTTAGTCCAACCATTTCATGTGATTTCACATGAAATCATCAAAAGATTTCACATTTCACATGAGCGTCTTTCAGTTGTAATTATATCGAATTATCTTAACGCATACAAAGTAGACTGTGTCCAGAGTGAAGGGTCTAAACTTCATATTGTGTAAAGATACTGTAACAATTCACTTACTGTGGACTGATTCTGAAAACCTGAAATGTAAGATTTTGTAAGCTTAACACTTTCCTCCGTGTTTTAAGTGATTTCCTACGGTTAAAACTGTTTTAAAGTATATTTCATATTCCATAGTTGGCAGCCCCGCCTCACTTGTCCACTCATTAAACTCCATATCAAAACTGATTGAAGCAGTGGCCTTGGTGCCCTTTTGTGGATTACGATCACCTAGATTCTTTTTCAACAGGCAGCAGACGGTTGGTGCTGGTGACGTAGTTCTCCACTTCTTGTTGCAGAAAAAGAAAATGGAAGAAATGCCCCCTCGGGTCACAAGCGTTCCAAACCTTAGCTCCTACGAGAAGAGCTTCCAGGGCTATGAAGTGAATCCAGACGGCAGATGTCCTCAAGCCGCAAAGTCTCCCAGCTTTGAGCATGGGAGAAGTGCTTTCAGGACTAATAATCGTCCTGCTCCAGCTCCAGAACTGAAGCCTGGAAGGTACAGTAGACCACCTTAGCTGTTCTGCAGGTTTCAGCCCAATTACACAGCTCATTGCGAAGCACACTGCTTGGCTCGAAACCTTAGAAAGAGCCTTGGAGCTTTTTCAGCGACTTTGATCATAATCAAACATTACATTATGTGACTTAAAAATGTACACCCTACCGAGGTGGTTAAAATGTTCAGCCAGAAGATATATTTTTAGGTTTGACCCTTCTTACTCCTTTCTTTCCCATAAATGTATAGAACTCCCCCCCCCAAAACCTAAAAATGGATGGGAAATGAGATCTTCTAAAGCTGGTATCCCAAACTCCAACAAAATGTAAGATGGTGTCATATATTGTGATTTTTTAAAGAGTTTACTTTAAAACCATTATCAGATTCTTTGTGGCATGTGGCAAGGGAGGACCAACGTATAGTCGGGTCTTTTAGCCATTCATGTTCCTAAACTGGATATAACTGTCCAGGGAATCACAGAGCTGGGCTGAGGCTGGTCGAACCCTGGTGTTATTAAATCATATACCTCACTTTGCCTGCCTGGTTTCCAGGTTTGTTAAAAACATAATGAGGTTCCTTCAGCCAGAACCAGTGGCTGAAGTTATTCCACCTACCCAAATCTTACATCTCTTGCCAATGGAGCAAACCAGTCCTTTGGAGAGAGAGCCAGAGAATGAAAGTAGCTAATTTTTTTCAAAGGAAGAGCAAACCACACTTCTTCCTTCATTCATCTTAAAATAATCTTATCCCTTACCGTTTGGAAATGTCCTTACAATATAACCATCTTGTATTTTGTGACCTGAATTCAGTGCCAACTGTGAATTCAAAACTGGTCTAACAGAGAGGCCCTTCTCACTGAGACACGCCTTCTTCTGTGTTTTCTGCCTATTTATAGAAGAACCTAACTAGAACCAGCTGCATCACATCCTGTCATTATTTTCTCTCCAATTAGCCTTTAATGCTGGATGGCGACAAGGACAACTCAGAAAGACAGCTGTTCTGTTGCGCAAATATATTTTTTGTGAAGAGCGTGCTGATTGTGAGGTTCACAAGTATGGTCAAAGCCATGTACTGATCTGAATTCATGTAACTTTTAGCTGCCAGGATAGCAAAATACAACTGAACAAGAATGTATTAAGGAAGTATTCCTATGGAACATGATTGAACAGAGGGGAGTGCATTATTAAATGGGTTCTGGAAAAGGGTATTAAACACCAGTGTTTAAACATAATTTACATATGTTGTCTATCTTAAACTATTACAATATAACTGTGACATGGTCAGGAATACAAAATCTCTGTATAGTGTATAGTCTATCTTTTAATAGGGATTAAGGTAATTAAATTTGCTAAGGCAAACTGTTCAATTCCTCTAAGCTACATAATTTCCAACATAGTAATGCTGAAATGGCGGAAGTGTCTTCTATGATTTAAGTGGAATACAGCAAGACTAATCTTGTATCTTTCAGAAGCCCAGTGGAACAGAAATGCCTTGACCAAGGAGCTGAAGTTCAGGATCCTCAACGTCAGGAGTGGTTTACGAAATACTTCTCCTTCTAAGATTAATGAACCTTCTGTACATTAAAATGATCCTAAAACCTAGAATAAAATACTTCTAATAAGCTGTTTGCACATACAGAAAAACACCTTTTCTCACTGATTAACGTAATAGAAAATACTGTATAAGAAAAGTCGGAAACCAGTCAATTTGTGTGAAAAGGGATGTGAATTAAATTATTTTTGGAGTTTGTCCTTGTAAGTTTGTGCCATTTTCACTGGATGAGATTTGTTTGCAACACTGCTGGAACTACAGGGTTTTTCACAGTGGTTTAACTATTGACTAAGTACTAAGAACAAGCTGAGCTCTGGTCCTAACAAGTCAATTTCATCAGTCAGGTAATTTCTCAATCCTAGTTCTAAGCCATGGGTTTCCCAAATCTGTTCCAGGCAATGCCCCCCACCACACCCCAACTACCAGTCCAAGCCTAGATTTTCTTTACTGCTGTAATTACATAAAACATATGCAAGACGGCTTGTAATTTAGGTAAAATCCGGACATAACATTTATTACACAAGGTAAACCACTGTAAAAACATCTAAAAACATCATGGGTGGGGGGTCCTGAAGACAGGTTTGGAAAACACCAGAACAGAAAAGAATACAATAAGGGGTCCAAGACAATGCCAGCAGATAGCTGGAGAAAGAACACACCCCTCTCCCCCCACAGGCCCGACCAATGCTGTTCTGTTGTCAAGAAAGTAAACTACTCCCTACCACAGATCTAACTTATCTACATTGCAGCTGAATATCTGGAAGATGGGAAAATACAAATGTTTGGCACAAGAGCTGTAAGCATCTCTGGTTTTCACTCCTGGGAACTCTCACCTGCTGGATTGCAGGTGGAGTACAGGAGGCCATGCAGGGGAAATGGGAGTGCACAGAGACCACCACAGGCAACATCCGACAGGCACACTGCTGCAGAAAACATCTTCAGCTAAAGCTACAGCCTAAAGCAGCAGTGACCTGATGCAAAATACTTTTTGCAACAATCAGCGAAGACATCTTCAAAAGTGGAAGAGGGATATAAAAATGAATTAGAACACCTATGTTTTAAGAACCTGCTTCCAGTATACTGTATGAGAAGTTGCCTAATTGTAATTAAAGCCAACTCCTTGTTTTAGTATATCTCTCTCTCTCTGCGTCTTGGGATCCTTTTCACAAATGCTATTTGGCATAAATACAATCCTAAGTGCAAACCATGATTTTGTGTTTGCAATGTTATGCTTTCATAGATTTTCACGAAATGTATACAGAAATTAGTACAGCAATAATAATATTACACACAATTGTTCTATTAAATGTTTAGCCTGGTCTCTTGCGAAGGTTAAGGGATTCTGAACTATTTTTAATGTAACAGCTCCAATAAGTAGCATGAATTATCGAAGACGGGTTAATATGACAGAGAGGCAAGCAGTGAAGGTAACAAATTTAACCAATTCAGAAACGCATGATAATATCCTAGACAGCGGCTGTCTTTGGAGCAATGTACAAAGAAATGGTAAAAAATGTCATGTTTAATTTTTACAAGCAAACAATATCCAAAGATTTTTCAGGCACAATAAAAAACTTTTTTTTAATTATTTTTCTTTAACTACAAACATAAAAAAGACAAAGAAATAATGGTGATTGGCTTGCATGGTTATTGCAGTAGAAGTGATTACATTGGAAGGAACTGTGAAACTCTGGATTATCCTTCGGTGTTGGATTTACAGCTTTGTACCCCTGCATGTGCCATGGCTGTATTTACATTTCTTAACTACAGAGCGTCACTTAATTTTTAGCACAGCACTTTGTTCTGCTGGTTTTAATTAGAAAAAGATAAGCACAGTATACACAGTCCGTGTGCTAGTTTGTCTTATGAGGGATACTCCAAATGTTTTGAAAATGCTTTATTAAAAGTCTTTAAACAATTTGGAAAACACTATTTGTACCAGACATTCATCTAATGTTTATACAACATCACACCCCTTTAACCAGGAGAGCTACCCAGGTTTTATTGATCTTGGATAGTGAAGTCTGGCACCAGAATCGCCCTTGAAAGGAGATCATAAAAACACTGCCTTATTCAAGAGATTTTGCCTCAAGACATATTGTATCACCACACTGCCCAAAACAGACCTCCAGGCCGAATAGGTCACCACAGGTACTGTACAGTCCAGAATTAACAGCCTTTCATATTGATGCAACATCTAAAAGGCATGCGTTTTGAAGGTATCAAGTGAAAGAGATCCATTTGAAAAGTGGTTGAGAGTAGTATGATAAGTCCACTACTAAGAAAGGGAGCTGCATGGGAAAAATGTTTGATACAGAAACTGAGAGGCATTAAAAATGCAACACATGCTGTTGATTTCATATACACCTGTAGTGCTTTTAATGCCACTCGGTATTCACTAAATGTTAGATTTAAACAGTCTGTAATGTTTCAAGTCAGTGATCAAAATTTTCAGAATATCCCTCACACATTCAGAAACCACCACAAAAAAGGAAACTCTTGTAAACATAAAAATAAATACAGTCAAAAGGAATGTATTAGTTCTTAACTAGCACAGCTCACTGGAACAAGCTACAGTTCTGCAAAACATGAGTTGCTGATTGGTACTGCAAAACTTCTCTGTGGAACTGAACAAGGCTTGCCTTCATTTTCTTCAGGGGATTTGTTGTGGCTTTTCTCTTGTAGGTCATCTGAAGCAGTTTGTCGCTCAGGTAATGGAGCCATAGCACATTTGTGTGAGGGTTATAATCACTCCAGATATTGCTGGGGGGAAAAAAAAAGTTGCAGGATTTAGAAGTCTTTCCAAAGATGCAAACCTGGACTTTTACGGATTTCTCATTTTAGACCCATCCAGTTTGGAAGTGCCAACTGATTTGGTTTCACGGTAATGACTCTTGTACCACATGGAGAGAATGAAGAAAGACCATCTCCCCTGCCCCCCACTCATGCACACACACACACATCACGTCATTCACCATCATACCTTTTGACAACTCCTTCCTCTCTGACATAACTACACAAGCATGTAGGCGCTTAGGACATAACAGGAGTTGCAATCTCACCAGAGTGAAGCAAGAGCTGCGGTTGACTAATCCCAACCCAACTCCCTGCAGTACTTAGCTAATAGTGCGCTGCTACTTGGGAACAGGGAATCCAAGTCACAGTCAGCTAGTGACATGACCTGGGCCTCGTTTATGTCCTCACTGCTAAATACTTCATTGCAAGTGGTTAAATGTTAGACCTACAAAGAGTAACTCTTGCTGCAACCAAATGCCTATTATATGGTTAGTCCATGACATACTATAAAAAATATTTGAATGAGTTTTGGTAAGTTTTGTTGCATGTTTAAACTGTTTAAGTACTTGATAAATCCTTGAGACATAAGAGAGAACAATAAAAAATCTCCATTCAGTGGAACTAATTGAAGATATTGACACAGTTCTGCAGTTTAAGACTTCACTTAGTTGCCAGCAGCTTATTCTCTAATATTACCAGAATACAATATTGTACCATTACAGGTTGTGACAAAATGAATGTAAACTTACAGAAGCTCTGCTATATTTATAAAAGCTGAGGAACATTTAAAATTTTGCCTTCGGCCGTGTATTTAAAATAGCGTGGCAAAAGGTTAAATTCCAGAATTCTTCGCCCAAGCATGTGGCAATTTTTAGGAAACTGGTAAATTGTGTTTATCATGAATATCAATGAGAGACTTACCCATTTTCCTCTCGCATTTTACGATATATCTCAAACTGATAGTCTCCCTTTCCCATGAAGAGTTCTTCGTCACTCGAAATGTCACAGGAAACAGTCAGGCCATCTGAGGATTGAAAACAGACCATTTATTAGCATTAATGCACATCTGTGTACAGGGAACACCACAATAATCACAGTAAACCAGGCCTTAATCATGTGGACACTACAATTTGGAGACAAACAAACAGAGATCTCCAGATTTAAATCAAATTTCCATTTTAAAATATTAAGCAAAAGCAAACATGCAAATACTTTCATATAATGTGGGATTTGCATTTGGGGAAAGCAGTCCCCAAAAGGTAAAATTGACATATCGGTTTATCTAAATAAAGCAGAAGTCAGTGCTTCAGTTACAGTAAATAAGCACAGCAGATCTGCCACATTTACTATAAAATTAGGATTAAAATACTGCCTACACAGATTCGACACAAATGGCTATTGAAACAATCATTTCAACATCATTCTTTGCTATCAACAAACCGATTTACTGTAAAGGCACCATTGCCTTTGTGATTCCATAAAGTGTAAACATTAAACTCCTCAACCACGATACAGGTGGAAAAATACATCAGCTGACCTATTTCCAATCTGGAGAGTGAATAGTCAATGATGTTCACATGAACACCGCTGGTCTCAAAGCTGCCTGGTGTCCTATTCAGAGTGTATTTGCCCTCCTTTTCCTTGGTGGGCTTCACAAGGACATTGCCCCAGTGCAAATCCCTAGGAATTAGAAGCACAGGTTAGATGGTAGGTATGCACGTTTACCATTCAGCATCATTCCATTCAAGTTTTTTTGCTTTTAATTGTGTTACAAGGAGAAAAGAACGTGTTAAACATGTTGAAGTTAAAATGAGCAATCTTTATGTAGTCAAGTGTTAGTACATTTCTTGTTCAATATTAAGGACATTACATACAGGACTCCTTATTACATTAAGGAGAACTGTCGACTAAACAGGACCAATGTAAGGACAGATGAAAAAATCCCACCTAAAATCTATTCACACCTTTTCAGAATTATCAATTGAGAAAGTCAGCAAGTCAATATGGAAACAAACCTTCAAGATCCAGGCTGCTGAACTGTTGCTAGTGTGTAGAGCCAGGATTCCCAATATCAGCTACACCGACCCCTTTAATTCTTTTTAGTTCGATAGTGGATTGCATTCTTTTTATTTTTTAACTAAAATACATCAAAAACTAATGAAATATTTAGGGGTGAATAGACAAATGTTATTAATAGAGTACCACAGTGGTCTGAATTAAAACCACTGCTGTGTTGATTTGTTTCAGTGATCTAAATCCTGGTACAGTTATATAGTCTTGTTTACAGACGATACCCAAATAGGAGGGTTATCAAACACTTGATTTAGAAATCAAGACCTAGTAAAAACTGGGCAGAAAAGATTCAATGAAGTCAAGTGCAGAGTGATATTTACAGGTACCAAAACCACAGACAGAAAATGGGATACACTGAGTTCAGAGAAGCTATAAAGAAAGACTTGGGTTTGTCCGTTGACATAGATGATGTGTCCACTAGACTACGTATGGAAGCAATACAAAAGACAAACAATGTTAAAAGATGATTAAAGTAATAGGACTACAACATTGTCTAGTGATGATTTAAACATCATCCAGGGATGTTAGGTTAAAATTGTTCAATATGCTACAGTAGTAAGACAGATTCAGAATATGGTGTTCCTTTTTTTAAGTTAAAAATTAGCAAACATTTTATACTGTACATTTTTTGTTAAGACATTGCTGCTTTAGAATCAGTTCAAAGAAGAGCAACTATATCAATTCCTGATGTTGAAAGGAATGTCAAACATAGGCTAAAATGATTGAAGCTTTTTAGTCTTTAAAACAGAGGACTACCAGAGGATCCAATTCAATATTCAGAAGCGCCAAAAACATTGACAAAATCAAGAAAACTGATTTCTTCTGAATCAACAGTGCATCACAAACCAAAGGACAACTGAAACCAAATTTAACAGGAGGCAGTGGGGGGGTTGCATGAGATCCTCTGATCAATTCGATGCTAGCCAGGCTAGCTGAGCCAAACAGCCACTTGGCATTTTTACCCTCGCATACATTTTTATGTAAACTCTTACCTGTGTTCAAAATGCAAGGCTTCTTCAGCTACAGCCAAAGCAGCAGCCACCTGATGCAAAATACTTTTTGCAACAACCAGCGAAGACAGCTTCAAAAGGGGAAGAGGGTTTTAAAGATGAATTAGCACACCTATGCATATACTGGAAGCAAGTTTCAAGAATTTCGCAAGGCTATTAAATCATGTAATTGCTAAGCCCTCCATCTTCTAACTGCTTCATCCAATTCAGGGTCATAGGGGAGCCGGAGCCTATCCTGGCAAGCAATGGGTGCAAGGGAGGATGCACCCTGGACAGGAGACAAGTCCATCGGCAGGGCAGACAAATACAAACACAGACACACACACACACTCGGACAGCAGGGCCAACTCTTCCAGAAGCCAGTTTACCGACCAGTATGTTTTTGGAGTGCGGGAGGAAACCAGCGCACCCAGAGAAAACCCATGCGGACACGGGGAGAACATGCAAACTCCACCCCAATAGCAGCTAAGGTCCAGATCTGAACCCAGGGTCCCAGAGCACTGCGCCACTGTGCTGCCCTTTTAACGGGCAATGATCCGATAAAACTTGATCTACATAAAACTGCTTTCAATTTTCAAACTGTTAGTTCACTCCCATCTACTTCCCTGTTCCATTCTTCCTGTTTGCGTGACATATTCCTCCTCCTCTTTACTTCCTTCTTTGTCTCTGAATGTACTGACAGTATAGTTTATACATGCTCCGCACATGAAAGCACTCCGCTTACCTTGCCTTTCATATTCTCCAGATCACTGCCGCCAAATTCAAACTCCAGGATAAGGAAAAGCTGGTCGCTTCCAAAGAAGTCTGGATCGATAAATTAAAATTGAAACATAAGAAATATTACAGATAAGAGGAGGCCTTTCAGCCCATTTATCCCATTCTGTTTCTGTTGCTGCTACCTGGTTGATCTGAGAATTAGTACAGATAGTATAAAAGCAAGCTACATTACTAAGTAAGTTACAAAGCTCCAGAGTGATTATTGTGATCCGAAGCTCACAAAATTAAATGTTGATGTTGGCAGGAAACCAGTGACACTACAGACTACTGTTTACAAAAAATCTGTTTTGATTAAGGTTTCAGTGGCATTACACAATCTGTTTTACAAAAAACGTTGTAAAATATTAAGTCTTACCAGGACGATCATTTTCTGAAGTTCTTTCTCTGTCAAATTTGTCCCAGGCCTTAAGGAGTTGTTCTGGATATGACCCTTGAACACAGTGCAAGCTAAAATAAAAATGGAAATGAGCTCCTTTAATACACACATATGAATAAAAGAATGGTATCAAAGAACAAAACTGCCAAAGGTTAAGAACTTACTTATTTAATGTGATGAAACCTTCCGTTTGGTTATTTTCCTTCTCACCTAAGCTGCTCAACTCCCTAAAGACAAAAATAAAACAATCAAGTAAGAAAAATACAAAAAAACATTTTCTTCATCTCGAAATAACTGATGGAAATGGATACTAAACTTCAGAGGTGAAAAACTTGTGGCAACCACTCTAGGGTCCTAAAACTAAAGGATAAAGTAATCCAGCATCAGATGTTCCACATTTCATCCTTATAACCATAGCTGAATAAATGGGCATTAAATTATAATAATACAAATTTAATTCACAATTCCTTCCATTGTAAATTTTGTTCAAATTATGCAAGCTAGTAAAACAGAAAATGGATCATACAATTTATCTTGATTTCCATCCCTGAAATGTTCTGCATAGACATTTCCTACATAGAGGGCTTCAAAGTAGCTCAACCACTAAAGGCAGGAGCTCAGAGCACATGTCTGAGTTTGAGCCTGTGCATCACCACTTAGAGGCTCCATCACCACTTAGATAGTGACAACCGATAGAGTGTCAGAGCTCTCACAGTTTTCTGTCCGACAATTGTACTCCTAAGACTTGTGAGCCTGCAGGCTTGTAGTGACACTAGTGTTGTTCCTGTTTAAATGGTACTACCTTTCCTGTTAGGCATTGTGGATCTTGCAAAATAGCAAAGGCTGTGTCTGAGAAGGATCTCATTCTATCCCAGGTTGATACAGTTACTGCTGCAGGGGAGACCAATCTTAGAACAACTGGCAATACTACAGTAAGTGGAAATATGGGGAAATAACCTGCACAGTCCAAATAAAATAAAAAGGAGTTTTGATATTTTTGTTTTCTGAGGTATTATTTCCTAACCAACCTGTGGTTTTACATGAATTGTACTTTGGTTTAATAAATGTTTCACCATAAATCCATCTCAGACTAAACATACTTTGAAATAATGACTTCATGAAGTATTTCAGCAAATGTCTTCTGATCTTCTCCATTCACTTTCTGATGCCCCGCAATTGGTATGATCTGCAGATAGAATCAACGGGTTGGTGTTAGTTCACAAAACATTTTTTTTTACAAGAAAGTAAAACCCAATATCTGTTGCTTTGAAAAGGCTTGGTATATTACTAAACCCAAAAAATGTATTCTACAATGAGGAAATGTATAATATTTTCAAAGCATGTACATAGGTGTTGGAAAACCAAAGATAAATAACCATTGTTAAATACATACATGCCATATTTAAGATAAGAAGGTATAAACTTCTCTTTTAAAATGTATCCAAACAAAATGCGGATACACTCTAGCTCAGAAGAAATACACTGAGGAAACATTGTAACAGGAACTATAGAACATTTGTTGATGTTTTCTAATGAGTACTAAGAAAATAGTAAGTGCTTCTTACTGTTTAAATGTCATATAGAAATGTTGCTCTTTAACATGATTTAATTCTGTCAAAACAGAGTCACATCAATCAAAAAGAGCTACTCAGGAAGCACGTATTAAGCGCAAGAAAAAAAACTAAAAAACTGATTCACAAAACACTGCCGTTCAATAGCAATTTAAAAGAATGTTATAGAAGATAGCTGTAACTCTACTAAATTTGTAAATACATATTCTATAAAGACACACCTGAAGCCCCACAGCCTAAACGTTGTTTCCTTTCTTTTCAGCATGGAATAAACCCATTACCTGTTCCTCCGCAGCCTACGCATGCTAACGCAATGCCCTACTTGAACTATTACAGTATATAAAGATAATATACCTTTAAAGCTACAGTTTCCTTTTTGCTGTTGGTAGTTGAGAACACTTCTCCAAAAGTTCCTTCACCAATCTTTTTACACAGCTTCATTTTATCTGGTGGAATGCACTGCTGAAAAGTTATAGGGCCTTCCTGCTGGCATTCCTGATAAACTTTCTCTTCGTCGGTGATCTCGTCCATTGAATTGCCATCATTCTGAAAGACAACGCAGGCATTTCATTCATTAACACTTTTCATCATTGGAATGCAAGTAACTTTCAGCCTTTAGAGACTTCAAAATGAAATACAATGGTAGCAGTTTTGAATCTCTACTAATTTATGGAGGTTTACTTGTTTCTTTTTTATTTTCTGTAATTGGACAGGATTATTTTTCAGTTTGAGGCCTGAAACAGGAAAAGATACAAAACAAAGTGAAATGTTTTTCTAAACAAAACGTTTTCTGCTTTTATGCACATCAGAGCATTATATCATCAAATCAAAAAAAAAATATCTTCTAAAAAGCAGTAATACTGCTCTTTTTTAATCTGAGAATAATGTTACAAATGGGGGGGGGGTTACGAAACCGGTAAAAATCAGCAATTGACAGAGCAGTTTAGTCAATAAATGAAATAATTATTTATAACCCCCAACTTGTGATTTCTAACCATATACCTGAGCAGCTGGTATAACTAGAGGCACATGAATTCTTTATTCTCTGGAACAGCTTTGTTGAGAGGAGTAATAATCCAGGCACACTTGGTTAAAACAAATATTTATTACAATAAACTACACAAGACACAAAACATACAACATACAAAATTACATTATACACAGACAATAATAAAGCGTTTCAGAGGCCTAACATTCTGGTCACCCAGGAAACCCCAGACTGCTACTAAGCACTAACCTCTTTATATACCTACAGAGGCCACACAAGAGATGAGCTGCCTCCTAACTAAACACAAAGCAACCTCCAGTTAAATCTCTCTTTCTGCACCATGGACGCCACAAAAAAAAAACGGGAGCCTATATCCCTATCCATTAAATGCACCCTAACAGGAAAGACGTTTCTAACTGAGGTACCAGGAAACCCAAGTTCCCTAAAACACAGAATAGCACGCTCTCTCTAGCAAGGTTCAAATACTTAGCTCCAGTGAGGTTTGATTTGGATGATCAAGAAGTAGGGGCTCTCGCTTGGCACAAGCTTCAAGTCCCAACTCCTGTGGACTCTCCCTTCTCCCTGCTCTCCTTGTTTCTTTCTCCTTCCTCCTGCTTCTTTCTCTCCTGTGCTCTTAAGGTAAACTTATACTACTGTATGTCTTTCTGCCCTGCTCCTTTGCAATCATTAATCCACAACTTGCCTGAGCATACTAAAATAAACTTTACAATTGTTTCTGCTCAAGGGAACCCCAGACCTCAGCAAACATCCTCTCTGCTTGGAAGTTAGAAGTGTTTACTCTTCCCAGTGTCACACAAATTATCTATAATTTTAGAGACACTTCCCAGTCACCCAAAGCTGTAACAATAATATAATGCAAACAAAAGATTAAACACTTCTGATTCACACTTCAGATTGTATAAAAACTCTGAACATTGGTGCCCAGAACAAAAAAGCTTAAGTCATCAAAAGTTAGAATATTAAACTGTATGAATAGGCTAAACCTCTGGGTGTTAAATAATGTTTTTTCCCTTAAAATTCAAATATCTTCAGTAGTGTTTATTAAAAATGTAGTTTAAAGAAGCAAAAGCAGACTGAGCAGGATATATATCCAAAAGACTGGTATATTTAGAGGCACCTGAGTTCATTGTTTGATGACAGCTTTAGGGAAGTAAATCATAGGCGAACTTGGATAAAAATATACTGTATGAACAATGACGAGAACACACACTGACAAGTTACTCAATTTACAAACAAGGCATCTCAGAGGCCTATGTTCTGACCAGTTAAAAAAAAAACATACAGCTACCAGGCATTCAAAGATCCTATGAAACACCTATACAGGCCAACAAGAGATAAACCTGCCATCTAAACTAAACAGAATACAGACTACATTTCAGTCTCTTTATAAATCCACATCTTACAAAGCGAATGGGATCCTATCCCAATTCTAAAAATTGCATCCACTGATCAGGAGATTGTTTTTAACCTAGGGATTCTCTATACTGGAAATCATTTTTAAAAACAATAGAATGGCAAGCTCTCTTGATAAGGTTCAAATACTTAAGTAGAAGGTTAATTAAAGTTGAACTGAACAAGGGCATCTTTCCTTCAGTGTCTCCCTTTTTTCCCCTTCTGTGTTCTTCTCTTCCCTGTCTACCTGTCTCTTTGCCCACTGTGCCTAGACTCTTAATGGGTTTAGCAAGAACTTTATCAAGGTAAACCATACAATTCCTTTGATTGATGTGTCTCAGTCCCCCTGCATCTGAGAAAATACCTGTTTCTACTTTGCTTTACAGATCCTTAGAACTGCAAATTGTAACATTAGCCAGTTAACCGTTGTCTCCAGATTCTGACAACACCTCAACAGCTGGAACATTATTTCATATTTAGTGATAAGGAACTGAATTTGTAACAAACATCTGTAACATAAACTGGTGATATTTTCTTAACAGACATTTTTTCCTTAAGTCTCTATGCTCTTACCGTTTATATAATCAAAGTGTGGATCTCAAAACAAAAAAAAAAGTGATAAGATCTAAGTAGTTCTAGTCAAAAATGGCAAGATAGTTACCACAAATAAATCCTTATAGATTAAGATTTATTTTATACAGTGCCTTTCAGGTCATCATTTTAAAGTGTTTGACGCTAAAACAATAGAAAAAGGTATACACAAATTGATACAATAAGCACTTAAAAGCCAGTGTATATTTGATGTAACATAGCTTTGTTGGAAAAGAGTATTAAGTGGAAAAAACCTGGGCCACATTCATGCTCTCGACCCTTTCAGTGACTGTGCAGATATAGTATTACAATGTGTGCTTTGCGTCTTTGGGACTGCCAATTCAAGACTAGCCCACTGCACTACTGGGTGCAATTTTAATATAGTTGTGTACTTTGAACACAAATTGGGTGTAATCAAAGCTTCAGCTTTCACTGAAAAAATAACCTGAACAGGACGAGGATTGGGCAAAACTGCATCGTAAAGAAGTGAAAAGATTTCAAGCCTGGGAACTTACCAGAGAGGAGCCTCCAGTGTCTCTCTTAAACCGTAGCTTGGATATTCGTGGTGTGGTAAATGCCTCAAGCGCGTTACTCTTGTTTTGCCAAACATTTTCTAGAGAATCCTGGTTATGGCAGATCATCTTTTCTGGAGTCATGACAGCTGAAGCAGGATAAATAACAGCTGTGAACAAGTATTTACATTTACAGCTGTCAAAGATGACACCTGCTTAAACCTGTTGCATTAATTAATTCATATTTTACATGGCTCCTCACCCAGGTATTCTGTTGTGCAACTGAACTGTTAGTCCCACTGTACCTGCTCTACACACCCGTCATAGCAATTAATTAAAACGTTACAAACCAGATTTATGTTGAACTCCAGCACTTTATTTCATTCATTTTGAGACTCCAAAATTAATTTGCACAATAACGTTTTTCTGTGTTTGAGTGTTGTGACAGACAGATTACACCTTCTGGAAAATACTGTTGTTATAAACTGTCGTGTACTGTATTAAGATGCACGTACCTTTTTGTTTTTTGTGCACCGAGAGGGCAGCTTTAAGTCTTGACCAGTTATTGGTGGTCAGAGTTTCAGGTGAGAAGAAGGACAACAGAGATGGCCTTCTGATTTGCCCTTTACCTACTGGAGTCTGTTGAAGCACTGCATTGGTACCATGCAACCAGCTTTTCAAATTACCCTAGAAATGAACACAGTAAACACAAACACATCACAGTTATGTCTAAGGTCTATTTCTGAACCCTAAAATCTAAACAGTTCAATGTTTACACATGACACAATATAGGCACTATTTCAACATACATTAATGAGCCATTAACCAATTATTCAACAAATAGATACAACACAAGCATGCAAGAGTGAATACTTTCACATTTCATGTAGCACAGAAAACAAATACTATGCATTCGCTGTGGATAGAACTATACTTATTAATTACCACAATGGACTTGAAAGCATGCTGTTTACTGGACTGCACAGGTCTGGAGACATTTACAGCTCTGGATTTATAAAGCTAGTTCTCTTAGCCATTCTGATGCAGGACAAAATTATTCTGTTACAACTTTGTGAACATGTTTCTACATTCATGAATATAAACTGATGTAACTTAATTTCACGCAAAACCCTCCTACTCACCATTGAAGAGTTCTGCATGAAAGTGCCAAAGCCAAGATCAGGCAAGGAGTTATCTGCACTATCAGAGAATACCGACTGAACAGAACATTTCTTCTGTCCCTGTTTCTTATACTGATCTTTCTTAGTCCACCTGCTCACACTGAAGCCACTGATGCAGGCTTTTCGTGCTGTTCCTGGTTTTTCTTTCGGAAACCCTCGGGTTTTCGTTTTCCCACCAATTTTTCCAGCAGGAGAACAAGCGGACTCAACTTTGGACGCATTGGAATCAGATACACTTGTAGTTTTAGTTAGGTCAGAGGAAAAATTAGAAAGCAGTCTTCTTTGACAGCTGGTTTTACGATGCCGTTTGGGTTTTTCAGCTTGTGCTGTCATATTAACTGAACTGACTCTAGAGCAAGCAACACGGTCAATGGTTAGCAAGTTGTTGCGACAATTCACAGATACAGCACCACCTTCCTCAGAGTGTACAGAATCCTCTTCTTGAGAAGCAGCGGAGACCTCTTTTCCAGGTTTTCCAAATTTCTGAAACTGCTCTTCAAGGCAAGACGCGTCTTTGCTGCACTGATCTCCAGTGAGATCAGCATTTTGCAGGGGAACGTCACAGTTTTGTGCCCCAACATTGACAGAGGCAGAAAACCTCATTACTTCTTGGAAACGAGATTTACTTTCCTTTTCGGGAGCAATCTGCCAATTTATATTACCCGTTTTCTGATTTATTACTTCCATGCCATTTGAAGAAGGGAAAATGCTATCCATTCTCAGATTGCCGTGTACGTTAAGTTGCTGCAGCTTATTAGTATGTTTTGTCAAATGACTACCATTTGAACTAATGTGATCTGATTCATTCTCATCTGCCTTGAAGTTGTCACTTAAACACCCATCAGATAACTTTCCATCAATAACATGAACAAGGTCTTCAGTAGAAGAATAAAGTACTCCTGTTTGCTTCTTTTGGCTTTGCCATACCTCAATACGGTCCAAAAGAACTATAGGATTTAGGTTTCGTACACTTTCTTTCACAGTTGTAACATCACCTAAATGGGTCTTTGCTGACACAAAATTGGAATTTTCACTTTTTTGTTGTGAAAGACACCCAATAGAAGAGCAGCTTTTCTTCATTTTGTCACTGTCATTATCTGAATGGCCATAGACCTCAGAAAAAAGTTCCATGCTATGTGCAAGAGTTGTCCATTTATTGCTTTTGGCACATTTTTGATCAGTTTGCCCATGACACACGATACTACCTTCTGATGTGTTGGTGCTTTGAGTTTTTAATTCAAGACTCTTATCCTCCATCCCAACAAATTCCCGTTGTCTGGGAGATGGGACACTCCCGGCTACCTCAGCACCGGACTTCAGAACACCATCCATTTCCTCATTGCTAAAGGATATTTCACTGACTGTGTGCTCACAAGGTCTGCTGCTGGGTTTAGGGAGGACAGATGGGGTGCTAGACAGGAGAGGCTTTTTATAGCATCTTTTCAGCACGCTGTCTGATATGCTGTTGAAAGAGACCTCCTTTAAAGCATTTCTCGTCCTTTTGCGGTATTGAGAAGCGTTGCTAGCCATCTCTGAACTTGTATTCTCTGTTTCTTCATTACGTCGTCTTCGTTTTTTCTTTGAATAACTACCAAAAGGAGATGGTTTCACAAAATCCTCAGATGAATTTGAATTGTTAGGTGGTATGAATGCCTAAAAAGGAAAATGTAAGTTAGTTATACTCTATGCATGGTAGTATTCCTTCATTAATTACGGTTTAAATCTTGAAAAGCAGCTCAGCAGTAGTGTTACAGAAAATACAAAAAATGTAATTTTTGAAAAAGAAAGGCAAAAATGATTGTCTGTGAATGTTATATATATTTCTGGCTTTAAATGCCAGAAAAAATATCTTAAGAAGGTTAATAAAAGCCAATAGATCAAGTAGGTAGCTGCATCATCACACATAGGCTGCCAAGGTACAGGTAAAGATTAATTCTGTGAAAAGAAAAGAGACAACATTTTTGTGGTGGAGTCTTCTTCACACCTGGAAAAGGCTCCACAGCCAAAACATTGTCTCTCTCTTCTTTTTGGCATGGAAGAAACCTTTACCTGTTCCTTTAAAACCAATAGTTGTGGTTGATATTTTTCTTTCTAAATACTGAGGAAAATGTCCTTAATTTTGAATGCTGTAGTTTTTCAAGCTACACAAACCCCAAGACTACTGTCATTTATCTACAGATTTTAGTCTGTGTAATCTTCAGCAGACAAAAGAAATTACCTTTGATTGGAGCATAGTTATGAACTGGCCTATATTACCTTTAACAAAACAGGTTGTGCAGAAGTTATTGAGAAGAAATATTTAGAAAGACAAGGAATTAAAAGACAATATTCTACTGGGGGCAACAGGGAACAGGCAACTCAAGTCCACAAGGGTCAAATCTTATAGGTTTTAATTAGAATTTGTAGTTTAATACTTCATAGGTCAAATCACCCATTTTCTAATCGGTCAATCAGTCGCTAAATAGCAGTACCTCTATGAATTACAAGAATTGGGTATGACCTTTCCTGTTTTATGACGTGGCTTTTACTCTCCACAGACATGCAGGATCACCGATTCTGAAATCAAGTGTTAAAAATGACTGAACTACTTTGCCATCATTAATTCTTACATTTTGTTTTTTCTTCTTTTGTCCCTCCTTTCTGTTATCTGGCTTTTTGGATAGTCTTTTCCTACGACTGGTGACAAACCTGCTGCAAAAAAAAGGGAATAAGCAGGATAACGTCAGTTTAAAAACATCTGTACTTGAAAACAGATTGGTCAAAACACTGCAAAGATTTAAATATTAACAAAAGCACAACTGAAACTTAATTTCAAACCATTCTTATAAATAACCATCCTCAAACTGAAAGTCCCCTACACAGTAAACAACACATCTTTTTGTTTACTGTGTAGGTAAACACAGCTGCCAGGTTTTTTACTATTTTTAGAACTCTGTCAGTAGTTCAAAGTATATTCTGCTTTGTAGCATCTTAAGATTGACATTGCGGATCACAATAAGAAATGTTTTGGCAACTTCCAAAGTGTCAAGGTACATCTGGTGCAGCGGTATACCCTCAAAGACATTCTTCATATAGTTTCACAGAAAAAATAAGATTAACTTGACATATCACTTGCCTTTCTTTATCATTCCAAACTCTATAGTTCAGGAATTCAGGACTGTTCACCAGAAAAAAAATTCTGAAATCCTGAAAAGCAGAAAGTAGAATTGACTATGCAAAGGATATATGCAAAACAATAAACAATGCTCACACCTTTGGAAGATGTCAGACTTCACACTTTCTTCCATCTTATTCTCCTTCCCAGACTTGAAAGCGAGACAGCCTTGCCTTGTGTCGCTGCTTGAGTCACTTGAGCTGGACAAACTAATAGTTAATGCGGCTCTCCTCTTTGAAATGCGATGCACGGCTCTTGAGGCAGTGCTCGACTTCCTGAGTTATAGGAGAGAAAATTCAAAAATGTTTTTAGCAGGACAGATATTCATTTTAGGGCTCACAATCCAGGCAGACGGCAATCAAGATAAATTAAATTACCTCTGCAGAGGCGATTTAAAAAAAACATCCTTTAAACTGCCAAACCTATTCAGGGATAAATGTGATTCCTCCAGCTGAAACTAATCCCACTCTAGGGGGGAAAAGAGTGGCGAAAGAAATGACCAACTGAAATAAACATTGGTTGATTAATCGCACTATTTTGGACACTGCCGTCCATTAGGAATTTAAAAATACGTTCACAGCTCTTAATCAATATAAAAATTAGATACCATGACAGCTTCTCCGACAATCCCAACACACTTCACCCAAAAAACTCGGCAAAAAACTCTACCTCACGCCATTGTTGAATTCAGCTGTGGCTACTTTTTCACTTTTCAAACCATCACTGAAAATACTTTCTTCTTCCTCGTCTGGAATATTCTGTTTTGCGTTTAACACACCGTCTCGATTTCTGCATCTGTTGACAAAATGGCATTGCAGCAGTCTGAAGTTTTAGTTTTGCAAAACGAATGGTTTTTGAGCAGTTAAATGGTTAAAAACACAGCCTCACAAAACGCATATTCAGCCTCCTGTAAGAACTTCATTTGAGTTGAAGTAACTCTAGTCCGCCAGAAACAAAAAATAATAAAATTAGGCAACATTCATTATTAAAATTGAAAAATCTGAATAACCAAGGCTGACTGGTTTCCTTAACATTTGTAAAAATATGTTCTAATAGAGCACTATTCTATAACGTCAACATTTTAACAAACCCTTTATAGAGCTGTAAAGAAAATAATTCTTGGCAAATGAACAAATGCCAATACAATTTGAGAAAAAAAGCAAATATATGACATGGAACTTATTTGGATATGTCTTTAAATGTAAAACCAGAGAATTGTAAGGAGGTGTACTTTCTTTTTTCATATCACTGTAGTAACGTGACCTTGTTTTCTGTGAAGACCCACAGCATTTTTTTTACAAATGCATTAAATTTGTAATTAAATTAAACTCAAGGTATTTCAAAGCAAACCTACCTTCCTCTCCTATTTTTGACATTTGCTTTGTTTCCTACTGCACTGCTGAAGGATACACTCTCCTTGTCGTCATCATCTTCCTTTAAAGCTAACAAAGCCGCTTGCTTGGCTTTTCTTGTAGGCTTTGAGCCGAAGGTACTTGGTTTCTGTCTCCTGTGCGGAAGGACAGTGATTGCAAATAGACTGTACAACAATTCACACCTTCTCTCTATGTCTTTCTCCCAAATTCTATTTAATTTACATAATATTTATCAAACAAGCACTGAACAGACATCAAATATATGTACATATAACACTATATATCGTGCAAAAGAACATTTGGGGCTATTAAATACAGTAAACCTACTAACGTGACAATTTCTCATGCAACAAAACCATGTCAATGCATGTTAAGGCCTTATGTAGACTAGAAACAGATTGCCAATGGTATACATGCAAATTTAAAGTAAATTGTAGGAAATTGCACTTAAACAAATAAACGCTATGCAAAATTAGCTCAAAATATAAAATACTTCTTCAGGCTCACACCTGAAGAAGGTTCCACGCCTGAAATGTTGTGTTTTCTTTCTTCTCTTTTCAGCATGGAATAAACCTATTCCTTTGCAGCCTACGCATGCTGACTCAGCTCCCCACCTGAACTATTTCAATATACAATACTTGTTGCATGTTACACATAAGATATTAATGTTCCATCGATATCAAGTTTCACCTACTTTCTTCTCTCAGTTTTCAGGTTGCTGTTGTCATCTGTATTAATGGAAAGGTCCGAGCAGGACGTGCTTGAAAACGCAGCTTGCCTGATGTCGGGAGATAACCATACTTCCACGTTCCGCACGTATGTTCTGCTATACTTGCCGTATGTTTTTAAAACCACTGGGCCTTGTCTTGTAAACTTCTTCATCCCAGTTTTCTGAATTTCACCCCTACTTCTCTGAAATCATGACAGAAAAAAAAATGAATCAACATAAAGGTTTTAAATAAGGGAAAGCCATTTCATCCATCTTGTTCAGGTCTGTCTTGCTTGTGGCGATCACAATTAATCCTATCCTGGAGTCCTTGCACTGGCTTCTGTCAGCTTTTGTATCGATTTCACATTTCTGATGCTCAACTACAAGGTTCTGCATAGCTTGGCACCTCAGTACCTGTCTGTCTTCAAATCTAGACTCAAAACCTTTTTAGAAGGGCTTTTATTTAACTGGTCTTTGCCCCTTGGCTTTCCTAGTGTATTCCATACCCCCTTCTGCTATCTCCTCTCAAGGCTTTTTTTTGTTCTTGTTGTTGTTCCATAAAGTGCCTTGAGAAGACACTGTAAAGATGTTATATAAAAATAAAGTTTATAATAACAATAAAGTATTGTTGTTGTTGTTGTTGTCGTCGTCCTGGAGTATAACTGTCCCTTCTAGTTTACTCGACAGCAAATTGCATAATAACTGAGATCATTGTTTTTATTTTGATCCTCAAAAAAATATTTACAAGTGCAATGATGTTAAAAATGTTAGCAAAAAAATCTACTCCTTAATCAATTTGTAAATAAGGTGGCCGCTCTCTTAGGAGATCAGTTAATGGTGTCCACAATAAGGTACAGTATGGTTGGCACTATCGGTCACATCGGGAAAATGACGTGTCGGCCTTTGTAAACACCTCATTCTGCCTTGGGTAATTTCTCCAAGCTGTCTTTCTCCTCTCACGAGCAATCGTACATCTTCCCTAACTTCAGGCTGTGGTCATCTACATTAAACATCATCTGTGAAGTGGCTTTTTGAACTTTAATTCTATAGCTGTTTCTGTAGTGTTAACAACAGTTAAATCTGACGGCCTAGTTTCGTAAAGCAGTTTATATCAAGAAATGAGGTCAGGACTGTTTGTTCAAAAATCGATTACTGTTATTCTCCATATTCATTTTTTTTTATTTCCAACACTTTTACGGAAAACATTTTTTTCCACAGTGACGTACTACCTATATGCATTAAGAAGTTACTCTTGCAGTCAATTTACTTTAAAACTATACTGTAATCTTAGCACCATTAGAAACTTTACGTTCCTTTCCCAGGGCGAAATCTATAATCCGTCTAATTCAAGATAAAAATGGCAAATCGCTCGACACAACAACGAGGCACATTTAAATATCGTAAGATAATTACAGCAGCAGCTGCTTACGTACTATAGAACAACGAATTCAATTCCTTACCGTGCTAACAGGTTACAAATATTGAAAACGCATTGTTATTATTATTAAAATGTTTAATTATACAACTCATTCAAGAGAGCACACAAGCGGTTCCATCAATTCAAAAAATGTGCTTAGATGTTGATTGGCCAATAGACCTTAAAGAGAAACGTCATATCCTGTTATTATTAAAGTGTCATCCGTAAAAGTATTTCTGATCCAGAGACACCGCCTCCTAAAAACCGTCATATTGCTGCGACTGACTTGCTTATGCATAGCCACAATTTCGAAAAATGGGAAAACAATAAAAATTTTTTGTTGTTTCTATATTTTCTATCATGGTGATTTTTTTCTATAAACGAGTAATACACGTTAATAGATACAATATTAATACTTATACTTCTTAGCGCTTTTCTGGACTTTCCGCTCCATGAAACTGAACCAACACTAGGGGGTTCCTGGCATATCAAATACACATTTCTTTTACTATGATCTGAGCCCTAGACAAAGAGTTATCTGATATGTTTTTGTTGACTGAAACCCTAAACTCGCTACCATCCCCTGTTGTGTGTTTTTACTGCAACTACTAGTCAGCAGGTATATCAACCTACAACTGGCAACCCACTGAAGCTCTTCAGTTGTGAGCCAGGCCTGTTCCTGGATAGGAGACCTCCTGGGAAAACTAAGGTTGCTGCTTAACTAAGTGGGACCAGTAATAGGACTCAGTAGTTCTCACTCAGTGGTCTGTGTGGGTCCTAATGCCCCAGTATAATGATGGGAGATCAAAAGGTAGTGTCCTTTGCATGAGATGTAAAATTAGAGGTGTTACCCTGGTATCCTGGCGAAATTTCCCCCTGGCCTTTACCACTCATGGCCTCTTAATAACCCCCATCTATGAATTGTTTTCATTACTTTGTTCTCCACCCCACTGAGAGCTGATATTTGGTGTACTGGCACACTTCAGCTGTCATCATATCATTTAATTCCAAATTTAAAAATATTTAAATATTAAAATGCTACAACCTCATATTCATCATAATAATAAGCACTTATATAGTCTTTCTTGCAAAAAGCAACACAAAGACCTTTAGAAAAAATACATTTAGAACAGAGTGGAATAAAATAATTCAAAGCAACAAAAGCATGATTTATATTTGACATTTCTTGTAGCTGTATCGTGGTTTACATATAATAAGTTTGAACAGACTGTGCTAGTCTAGAGTAGAATTTAGCCAAGACATCAGAGTTTACACCATTTTGTTATCAAGTTTTCAGTATCTTTAACTTAAACTTCTTTAGTGGTTTGGCTTATATAATGCTTTGCTCTTATTTTTTTTTTGCTTCTTACACTAAACATAAAACATATTTTTAAAAATCCATCAATTATCACTGAACAAGAGTATGTTTATACCACCCTTAGCTGTGCTGTTCTCAGATTTACTGCCTTTTTTACGGTAACACCACAAACCAGGGCCCAGAGTCAACCAAATTGCAGCACAAACCAAACAATACTAACTCTCCCACTGTGACATAAATTGAAATGCTGCCAGGCCCTAAAAAGACTATGCACAGTGGCAGAGTACATGAACAGGGTGAAAGATGAGAGAGATCCAGATGAAACTCACGCCCACTGATCACAATCCAGCCAAACAACTTGGGTGATATTGGCAAACCAAGATACCCAGAAAGGACAGGCTGTGCTCCCGCTGTCTGCAGACAGGAGCATAAACTGATTCAAAACAGTTATCTTATCAGTAGAGGAAACTCAATAGAGCTGGCAGCCCAATGTGTGATCACCGCCTGAGTAACTTATTTAAGAAATTTACACAAAGGCAGGTATACAGGAGGAAGCTGTTTTTTTTTGCACACTAAGCTTCTGAGAAAGATGAAAGCTTTTGATTTTTTGCAACATGTCTTCCAAATCTTTCTAAATGCCCTCCTTTTATGTAGTACTTTTCATGCCAAAGGCTACCAAACCACTTTACTTTTACAATGGGACCACTGCATCATCCACCAGTGAAGTGAGCTCCCCTGTAGGTGAACCATGCCAGGAATAGAAGTGATTAACTGCTTCACCGACTGATTTAAGGATGAAAGTTTAGGGAGACTAGACTGTAAAGGCCCAGAGCAGAATTAACCCATGACATGGAGTTTAACACCCCAAATAAACGGTAGGATCTTTAACAACCAAATAGCCAGAACCTCTTGGTAATACCTCTTCCATTAGACAGCAGTGTCTCTAGCCACCATACTGTGTGGCTTTAGTCTGGAAACATTTGCTGTCTTCTCAAAATAAAATCAACATTCTCTTTAGTTACCTTAAAACTGTTCCAAATATATGCATCTCAAATATTTCTAAAACAGGAAATAAATGGTAATTTAAAATTATCTTAAAATAATAACAATAATAATAGCCTAATATTATTTCAGTCCAAAAGCTGCAGGTACCTTTCTTCAGAAATTTTGAATGCAATGTTACATCCGATTAATTCCCTAAAACCTTCACCGTTTCCATTTAAAAAAATAAAAAAGGTTCAATATCTTATAATGTTTTCCCTGCAACAGGAAAAAAAACAGATTTCAAACAATTCCACTACATTTGTAATATCACATATAAGTAACATGATACACCATAAAGAAACGAATGAAAAGAACTTTATTCCAACGATACAAAAATGTCATCTGAGTATTTACATGTCCTCTAGCACTGTGAAGTGCTGTTTCTGCGTTAGTTCTGCTTCATGGGTGCTGGGATGTTAGCAGAGGCTTGCTCCAGGTATGCCAGTGGACCCTGGGGGAGTTCTGTGGGCTTCTTGTGTTGTACATTAATGTCCTCCAGGACCTGCTGCCAATGGCGAATTTTACTCAGGTGTTTCTGAATCAAGGCCTCTTTTCTCTGGAGCTCATTTCTTAACTCGGACACATCCTGAAAGAGTGAGTCAAATTTTAATACGACATCAGCACTGACAAGGCAAACCTTTAAAACATTTCAACATTGATGCAATTCTTTTATGCTCTTTTTGGAAAACGGACAAATCCTTCCAAATTGGATGGCCTTTTGGATCAAAGGAATGACTTCTGTGCATCACACAGGAAATACCAAGTGGCATATTTAAATCACACTCTTCAAAAATATTGGCACGAGCAATGAAAGGTTCTTTTTCAGGATATTTGCTTTAGGTGTCAAACAATGCGTCAACTGTGAGGACTAGGTAGTACAATATTTAACAATTGCTACAATATTTAATATCTAAAAACATTTCAAAGTTATTTTCCTAGAACTGATTTTCCGAAACCAAATACAGATGCTGGAAATAGCGTGGATGTTGGAAAGGTTTACTGATTTTTGCACATTGACACAGGTAAAAGGGGAACTGCCATTTTTTTTTATTCCAGGGTGAGAAAGAGTCAGCATTGAATAGCGCGTTTCAAAATGCAAAGAAAGTAAAATGCACACAACAACGTGCAAAACTTTGAAATTCACATAACAAAATAGACCAAATTTCCAGGTATGCGCAGCTCCATATTGCCCTCATTGTCTTTGATTCAGAATGAGGCAACAAAACTTCCCATAATGCAAACCAGCCCTATTACATTATAAACTGGCACGCTTGTGAATACATCTCTTTTATTGCAATATAAATATTGCTTTTAGTCATAAAATTATGTCTTAAACATTATTATGATACAAAGGATCACTTTAATTGTGAAGGTCGATTTTTTTTTCTATCAAGCACTGAGATCACCCTCTTTTCATTGGATGGTTTTTATAGGCGAAAATGGAACCTGTTTTGACCACACGTTTCAGTTCAGTATCTGAAACAAAAATATATTTCATATTACAAACTATCAGGCTTCATAATCACGTAAACTCCTAAGCAGAGTCAAAATGTCAATAAACATCCTATCCCAAATTAACTATTTGAAAACTAATATATTTTTTTTGCAATATAAGGCAACATTTTTAGATACTTTAAACTACTGTTGACTGAATAAGTGTAATTGATTTGAATTCAACATATTGACTTCAAAATAGCTTTACCGACAAAAACTACTTATTAACTCTGCATGCAGGTCACGCTAGAACATTTCTGTAGTGAAACATCTGCTGCACAACCTGTACTTATTCACTCGCACATCGCATTACATTAGTCTTTACAGTGACTGCTGAGCATGAAGGTCAGCTACACATCACAATTCATGGGAACTCTCACTCTTGCCCGTGGAGAGACCAGCGATTTGCAACAACATGGTGACCATCCAGTACTTTCAGAAACTTCACGATTTTGTGCTTCATTTGAGACTTCCAAAAGTTTGTGATACCATCAATTAATTTTTGTTACCCAGAATTAATAACCAGTCTGAGAAATTGGGACTGCAGTTTCCCTATAAGCAGTAAACTGTAGAACCTTAAAATATTCATATAAGTCTACTGATAGAATGATAAATACCTCTACTTGTCAAGATTTTAGAGGCGAAACATGTGCTCCCTCTGAGAAGACCAAGCCAAATTCAACTTCAGCACAAGAACCGATCATGAAACTGCAGAAGGGGCACAGAAATAAGGCACACTTAATTTAAACATGGTCATCTTACCTCTTTTACAACTTGCTCTGGTTTCTGTACAGACAACTGTAATCTCTTCTGAAGAAAGAAGCACTCAGTCTGTCTGGCAACATCTAGGAATTTCTGGATACACTGGTCTACACCTTTAAAAAACGTTTTGATGGAAGGTATCACTTCAGTGCTGTACCTTATTAATAAATTAATTAAAAGAATGTACAGATGAAGCAAGTAGAACAAAAATCTAAACCAGTAAGTACTGTAAAAACAAGCTGAAAGACAAATCAAGAACACTTATGTGGGATGCAGCTCTATCAAAAACTATGAGAGTAATCCCTGAATTTAACAGTGAAGTACAAAATTAAGGTTAAGAAATTCACCCAAAGCTCAGATCTGTTATGAATAATTTATTTTTTACAACACATGATGCTTCATGAACTCCATTACAAAGATGTACCAGAGTGCATATAAAAAAACATACCGACAGAGGTCTCACCTGTTCGAATTTCTTCCTGATCAGTGCCATTTACGTAGTCTTGACTTACGAGGGATGCAAAACATGCCTAAAAGTGAAAAAATAGAACCATGAAATCAAAGTCTCTAAACATCAATATTAATCACACTTCTGCAAAACTGCACTGCCCACTGATTTACAGGATACACTGGCTCTATGTCCCTGCAACTCTTAAATGGCAATAAGAAGGAGGGAAAAATAAATAAAAAAAAACAAACAAAACTTATTCCTTGGACCGAAAAGTAATCTGATTGGTAAGGATTTGTCTTCCGTCCAAAAAACCGCATCTGAATACACTACACGTTGAAAAAGTATACAACACAGGGATATATACTAATTGCTACGCCTGCTTAGAATTGTGTTCTTTTACGCACGTATTGTAATCATCGCTTTGGCGCCATCTACTGCACAAAGCGCTCATTGGGGCTAAATTAAATCTAAGGTACAGGTTTTTACAGTCTCCGTTAATTAATATTAAAACCTAAAAATATGGCCTCTACCTACGATAATTTGTATCCAGCTTTTAAGTATAGTTCTGTTAAAATAGTATAAAGCTTATATTATGTATTTGAGAATAAACGATCTGCTGGTTGTTTTCTTCGGCTAACGTCAACGATGTGGTATATTAAAAAGAAAATCAACAATCAACCCGTCACCCATCATGCAGAATTATGGGATTAGATTCTCTGCTTCGATCCGAGTTCCACTGCAAAATTTCTCTTCGACAAAACAATTTTACAGCAAGAAGGGAAGAAAACAGTTTTGAAAAAAATTAGTTATCGTCTCTCACTGTACCTCGAAAGAAGCTTCCAGATCATCCACCAGCGTTGTGCTCTGACCCCTAGCCCCAGTAGCAGCAGGTAGAAGACCGGGTTGACCAGGGCCACCCGGAGCTCCCGTAGGATGGGGTCCTGGCGGCTGCTGCCCTGGAAACATCCCGCTCATGGAAGAAGCCATGACTGCTGCTGAATGACGCTCAGGCTGCCCCGAGCTCTGCTGGGAAGGGGAACTTCCCGTCACATGACACACAGGCCGATTACGTATTTCGTGTGCGACTGTATTTAATTAAGGGGCAAGAGGGTATTTTCAAGATTCCCCCTCCAATGTCTACCCCACTTTACTATAAAATCAACCTGGAATATGTAACTATTACGGAGATAATGCTGACCTTAGTAATAAATGTCACACTAATGAAACACATCTGTTCATTCTGGGCTCCATTTTTAAAGGTGAAATCACGTATTTCTATACGTATTTCTAATTATTTCGGGAAATAGGAACCAAGAGCTTTTTAAGATGGGAAAAGAGGTGTGTGCTGTAAGATAGCAGGAAAAATTTCAGGAAGATTGGGGATCATATCTATAGGGAAATGCTTACGCTAAGGGTCATATCGACGGTACTATATTTTAAAGGTTCTCCAGCTATCATAAAATAACAATACAAAGATGGAAAGTCAGGGTCATCACAGTTTCCCATGGCCTGGAAGGTGAACAATCATAGCCAATACTTAGGAAAGTACCCCACAAATGCCTGATTATTTAAATTGAATAATGGACATAAGTTCCACTGAACCCAACTGCTCATTTTATCCCAAATTCCTACAATTTATTACATTTGTTATGTAAGATACCAGAAAGCACTGATTCTACCCACAATTTGCCTGTTTCCAGAACAAACCTATTTTTTCAGACCTGTACACCCTTTTTAAATCTCAGGAAATACAGCATTATTAACCATTATTGTTCTGTGGCAGGGGGGTATATTTAGACTTTTTAAGTTTACCTTTTAAGATAGGTACTGTGTACACATGGGAGGCATGGTGGTGTAGCAGGGAGCATTGCAGCCTCACAACTCCAGGGCCCTGGAGTTTGTATGTTCTTCCTGTGTTCATGTGGGTTTCTCCCGTAGTTCAAGGAAATGCTGGTAAGTTAACTGGCTTCTTGGAAAATCAGTCCTGGTATGAGTATGTGCATATTTCTGTCTGCAAGTCCTGTATTTGGAGTACCCCGCCTTGTGCCCAATGCACCCCGAAATAGGCTCTAGCTCCTCTACGACTCTGAACTAGATAAAGAGGTTATAAAGTGGACAGATGGATATATGTACAAAAGTGTCCTACAACCTATGTCTTGTCTTCAATTTATTCAAGAGAAAATCTCTCAGACGGCAGACTTTCATAATTTGTTCCAGTCATCTATTATACAAAATACATGATTTAACAGCAAAAACCTTATAAAATGATGACCTCCAAAAAACCACAGTAACCATTTCTAAGCGGAAGTGTTACTACCGGTAAACTTTTATACTTCTTTACTCAGTCTTGCAGCAAACTCCACCAGAGTTCTGGTTGGCCTCCCAGACATGCCCTTGCGTAGATAGGGGACTTCATCTTTGTTTGACATAACTCCAGCTATATCCAGATGTGCCCAGTGTGGTGCCGTCACAAACTCCCGGAGGAAAGCTGCAGCAGTGCAGGCGCCTCCCGACCTGAGGAACAAGGGAAAAGCGCTTAAAAAGAAAAGCGTCAGGCTCTTTTCACTACCATCCCATCAAAATGGAATCCCAAAACGACGGTCCTGAGAAAACCATACAGTAATTCCACCAACAACAAAATATTATCTATCCTGCTAAATCGAATTGATTATAGGGTAATAAAGACTAAATGCTTTGACTCTGTGTGAAGAAGAAGCATCTTTTATTGTTGTTTTAGATGGTTTCCCAATTCTCTTCACTTACCGGCTGTATTTTCCAATGTTGTTCAGGTCTGCCAGCTGACTCTCTGTGACCTGCCGGGTAAAATGTTGGAAGAGAGGCATCCGCCAAACCCGATCACCAGTCACGATGCTTGCCTAAAAAGATGGAGATCGTTTATCCTTTTGTATTCACTTTTAATTTGTAGTTCAAACAGCTTCACAAATATTGAAAATAATTTTACCTTATGCAGTTCTTCCCATAACCAGTCAGAATTAGTAAAAACACCAGTAGCAGCTGACCCCAGAGCTACGTCCATGGCACCTGCATGCAAAACATGGACAGGAAATTTAACTTTTATCTGCATGATGCAAGCAAGAACTAAGCTTTTAACGAATGAGGTGACCCCTTAACACTAAACTAATTATAACAAGTTCTGAGTTTCAAATAAACATACCAGATAGGTTAAAAACCTTCTCTTGTTTGTGGCCTTTCCTAAGTTCAGACAAGAGAAGCAAATGTCAGGTTACCTACAGAGGTATCTTCAGCACTGTCATGGTACTCTGAGGATTACCAGGTTCACTGATGTTTCAATCCCTTTTAACTTACTTTCTAACTTATTTAAACTTAACTACTTTAGATACAAAAGCTGTTTTGGACATAGATTCCAAGGGATATGGATAAAACTCCCTCATTCATATAGTATTTTTCTGATGTTATAAGTGTGGAGAAATTAACTGCATCTTTTTAAGTCAGGCAGCTCTTCAGAGAAAGGAATGCATGTGATGTGCACATGTTGTGTCATAAATAACATTTTTTTGCTGCACATAACATAAATATTAACAAACAACGTTTAAATTTAGGATGATATCTGTGTGTGATTGCAACATATCAGTCAAAAACAAGGTTTTAACTGGTTTTCTAATTTATGCTACATTCAGAACCTTAAACAAATGATTTCCTTAGTTCCGAAAAGAGCAAATGTTATGCCAAAATGAATTCTCCTTGGGGGGATCATATGTTACTATAAGACCACCACATTTCTGCAAAACAGAAATGTCTATTGTCTAAGTAAAGCACATGACGGCACAAGTGACCATCTGCAACAAATGCCTTTCAGCATTTTAGCTCTGGTATGCAAACCTCAGCACAATATAAGCTGTATGCTTAGTTTCCCCCCAAAATTATTTTGATTGATATTGTAGTTTGTTTTGCTGTGACATACATACCTGTTAATGTTGCAGCATTGACTATTGCCTTGGGGTTAAAACCGTGTGCATAGCACAGAGAGTCTGCCAGTATTAACCGGCCTTCCGCATCAGTGTTATCAATCTGTGAGAAATTGAAGTACAGTATATATTAAATTAAATATATCTTTCCCACATCAAAGGAAACTGGATCTGCTATCAAGTTATCTAACTTGCAAAGCTGCACTGGATCATACAGATGAATTACTAATAATTTATGTTTTCACAAAACACATGAATCATGCATTGCAAAAGCATGGTATTAAATCACCTAATATGCCTTGCTTTCAAATATTAATTCTACAGCACAAAACCTGTAATTCTACAGGTTAACATACCGTACACAAGGCATCTATTCATAATTCTTATAAACTGTGGACATGCAGAAGGCCTATTCTTTCCTACTAAATCCACTTTGATGGTTTTGCACAACTCTGATTATACATATCAAATACATTTCGAATTCACAATGATTTCTTGATTCAAAATGACAACAATCCAAATGGAAATAATCTTATTACCTCACAGTCATCGTTTTCACTTCTCTCATACTCTCCCTTGCAGAAGTTTCAGTGGAGCTTTTGGCTATGATAAGCAGCCTTTTCTAGCACAGCGTTTCCTGTTATGTTTTTACATTTAATGTTTTTTTAACAGCCTGCATGCAAATTGCTGCACTTGTCTACATTAAACAACATCAGCTAGGTGTTTGCCCAGTCATGAATTTTATTGAAATCTTTTTGAATTTCATTATCTGCTTCTACAGTGACTGCTAATACTCCTGATTTGGTATCATCTGCAAACTTAACCAGTTTACAAAATATTCTGGAATCTACTGTAGATCACAGATATAAATTAAAAAGAATGGAGCAGAGAACTGCAAGGTTTCTTATGATATATTTTACAGGCTTTAAAGCAGTTATTATTTACTTTAAAATGTCATTTACAAACAGAACATTTACAGAATACTATTCAAGTATCTAATGGTTAATATACCTGTATTGTTTTTCCATTCTTTGCCCTTACTACATCACCAGGTTTATTTGCTTTGCCACTTGGCATGTTTTCACAGAGAGGTGCCAAACCTAAAAAATAATAAAATTAAAGTGTTGGAAAAGCATAAACATTTTTTTTTTTACAAACACCAGAGTTCTATAATTATGATTTTACACTTCGATGCCGAGTTCAATGTGCCAGACATGCACGTTCCTAGCGTTTTAATTACGCAGGTTAGAAACTCATTTTAATTAACAAGTAAACATGGAAATGTTCCTTCAAGATGCCTGTAGCTTTATAAAACATGATAGCTTGAAAACACCAAATTCACATATTCACAATCTATACAACACAATCTAGTTATAAAGCTCTTTTCTGGACACTCCACTCAAAAGCGCTTTACAGGTAATGGGGACTCCCCTCCACCACCACCAATGTGCAGCCCCACCTGGATGATGCGACGGCAGCCATAGTGCGCCAGTATGCTCACCACACACCAGCTATTAGCGGGAAGGAGAGCAGAGTGATGGAGCCAAATCATAGATGGAGATTATTGGGAGGCTGTGACTTGTAAAGGCCAATGGGAAATTTGGTCAGGACGCTGGGGATACACCCCTACTCTTTTCGAGACACGCCCTGGGATTTTTAATGACACAGAGTCATGACCTTTTACGTCTTATCCGAAGGACGGTGCCTTTTTACAGAATACTGTCCACATCACTATACTGAGGCATTAGGACCCACACAGACCGCAGGGTGAGCGCCCCCTTCTGGCCCCACTTACACGTCTTCCAGCAGCAACCTTAGTACCATCCAGGTACTGACCAGGCTCACACCTGCTGAGCTTCAGTGAACTGCCGGATGTGAACTGCAGGGTGACACGGCTGCTGAATGTCTCTCCTTCACCATGACTACAATCTTTTACACGCGCAGCACGCATGCCTTTCTTACCCACGATGTTGAGGGGGAGTTTTAAGGCCGCCGCGGTGACGATGGCGGCGCACACAGTCGCCGCTCCACCCATGTCGGCTCTCATGGCGTCCATGCCTGAAGAGGGCTTCAGTGAAATCCCACCACTTCAAAACAGGATCGCAAACAGACACGGTTCCTCTCGGGTCATAATAATCAGGCACCTACACGTAACTTAACAGACACGTGGCTCATCCTGGCTTGAACATTCCATGGACACATTTCGATAAAACCAGCTTACCACTCGTGTCAAAAGAGACCTTAACCCACACAAGGCTGAGTCGATTGCTTTTATTCCCTTGCATGCATTTGGGCACGGGTGTAGTGGTGGAAGGACCTTATCTGGGATTCAAAACTCAGAGTTAGTAAAGGAACAAGTAAAGGTTTATTCCATGCTGAAAGGAAAAAAAATGGATACACAACATTTCAGCCATGGAGCCTTCTTCAGCCTTCATAAGCCTTTACTTGTTCCTTTGCAGCCTACTCATGCCGACGTAGCCACCTACTTTAACGTCTTTAACCCAGAGTCATTAAGTCAGTTTGGGAGTAACTCAGAGACAAGTAAGATCTCAAGGTAGAATTATATCCCTTTTATAGGCAATAAAAAAACAAACTGCCTCCATAATACCTGTCAAAGGTTATTCCTTTTCCCACTAACACAAGAGGAGGCTGACTTGCACTGGAGCTCCCATTGTAGTGCAGTTCCAGGAACACTGGGGGTTCGTCCGAGCCTCTGGATACACTCAGGAAAGCTCCCATTTGGTGGTTTTCTATCCAGGACTTCGGCCTGGGTGAAAGAAAATGAGAAAGTAGGACTACAGAAAATCCAATTAGCAAGAAAACATAAAAAATGGAAAAGAAGAACCAAAGTTTGCATTTTGACTGAATGATCTATTTATTTATATATGGACATAAAAGCCCCAAAAAATCTGTTCAAAGGTGTGAAATCTATAGCAAGTACTGAATCACGTTTGATTCAGTAAACAGAATCAGAAGTTTACTTCTCCAGCAGTGACACACAACCCAAAGAATACAATTGGAAACGGGGAGGAAGATCAGTTATAATTAAGGGTCACTTTTCTGCACAAAGGATGTGGGTGTCTTGAATAAGCTCACGTTCCTCTTCTTTTAGAAACAGTTTATTGATTAATCTGGCATGCAAATAAACTAGCTGAATTGCCTCTTCTCATTTGTAACCTTTATTATGTTGTTTTAATTGAAGACTCAATTAAAAAAGTGCTGTACACCACTACCTTATATGTACTGTGACCTTGTCTGCCCAAGGTTTAAGTCTCTGCTGTATTGTCTCTGAAAAACACGTTGGGGTGATGTAGTTGGCAGGGGCCTCCATCAGATATCTGGCCAGATTCTGTCCTTCAGCATAAATCACTCCTCTTTCCCAAGCTGCAGCATCAGTGCTGGAAAACAGCATCAAATCACATTTACATTCATATATTTTAAGAGTCTCTTCTTATACAAAATTCATTGTAAACTTTAGTTTTAGACACATGAGTCAAGGGTAATGTTTTTGGAGATGTTAAATACATGACGCTTGTACTCGCTATCTTAACGCAGAACACTAAAAGAGGATCTATTACTGTGCTTGAACTGAAGGTTTCCACTACCTGCCATGTAGCTGTGTTGTCACCAACGTCTTTTTCTTCTGCTTAAACTCATCATACTCAAACAGCCCCAGAACAGCGCCCTCCGCAGCCGCCTGGGCATCACCACAAGGGTCAACCTCCACAACTGGAATCTCCAGATCTTGCAGCTGCCTGCAGCCAACTGAACACCACAGACAAGAGGATTCAACTCTTAGCTCACTTTATGAATCAGCTGTGCCCGAAAACACAGCCCTCAAAACACATGGTGTAGCGGTCCGAACAAAAATAGAGAAATACAATAGGTTTCCTTTGTCTTCTCAACATTTCAAACGTGCATGAATATTGATCTTTCTTTTTTCATTGTTTATTTGTTTTGGAGTGACAAACATATGATTAGAATAACAACTGTTCTCAAACAATAGTTTAAGATGCCTCATAAAGATGACATGTAGCTTAAGAGTAATGCAGAGCTGCATTAAATGGTCACTGAAACTACCAAAGGTAGCAGATTTTACAAACTTAAAAACATACAGTAAGGTTTGTCTGGATAATGTTTCTTACTGTATTTTTAAAGGTTTACCTACATTATACTACTTTGATTTAATTAAATGTTCACTGAAACAATGATGTGAGAGAATTACTACTGGGATATAATGCAGTGTGAGATGATATGTATTTACCTGCTACAGCTGCTCTGATATTTTCTTTGCTGCCATCCCAGTTCTCCTGACTGCAGACTCCAGCTGAACGTTTACCAAGACCTACAACAACGAGGCTCGAAAAATCCTAAAACACAAATGCAAAAGAAAAAAAAGGCTTACGATGAATCAATCTGATTGGTTTACTTAAAATTACTCCCTTTAGAAAAAAAAAGGATTATGTGCTTTCATAGGGCAGGATAAAAAAAAAAAGAACAGTGGAAATTTCTCAATATGCCTTGTGCCATCTTTTGAAAGGAAATTACAAGCAAACATCTAGGTTTAACTAATGTGAATTCTCATTTCTTTCAAATTTTACAGCCACAGATAGTTTTTTTTTAAGTTTTTACCTTGTGTATGCCATAAAATACCCTGCTTTTCCCCTTTTTCACAGCTGGCCCAGATCTGAGAAGTGTGGAAGCACAAGAAAATACTGATCAGAAAATCAATTGTATTAAACTTTCTGCCATTTTTTCTTTTCATTATTGCGAAACAATATATTACATAACAGCAGATTACAAAATACAATTCTATATACTATATAATACTCTTAGTTATATTCAAACCTGCTGCATACAATTCTACACTAGAAAAAAAAACACATTTTGAATGCCATACAGATTTGAAAAAGCTCTGAAACTGGGAATCAAGACTTACACAGATAATAGCTGTCTCAGGCTCCCTGACAGAGACCTGTCAAACACCTCTGCAGCTTCTGTGAGGTGGAAGTCGTTACTTTCCTTTTCTTTTTCATAAACGCCAAGGACTAGGCCCTGTGAAAAGCAACACAGCTACAGTCAGTGTTTTACAATTAATGTAATGTAATGTAATGTTTCTTTATTAGCCCTATACAATTTCTTGCATTAGGAATTAGTCTTTTCGCATACCCCAGCTTTTCTCCATGGAGACACAGACACACAGACAGGGAGAGAAGCTTGGGGTCAATTACAGCTCCCCAATGTCCCCAGAACAGTTATTTCAAACCTGTGTTTTTGTACTTCCTGGTTAATTCCAAAATTATCTATTTTTTGAGGGAGTTGAGGGTTTATATTTTTTGTATTATTTATATTTCTGGTTGTGAATCCAAATCTATGTGAACTACTCAAGATAAAGACGATTTCAGAACGCAGTAAATATGCTTAAAAGCAACTTTTGCAATATTCTTCACAGCAGTAAAATATGTTTATATAAAACCTGATACTGAAACTAGCAAAACACGTACTGCTGCAAAAACAATGTTGGTTTCAAATACAGATAACAACAGAACTTCATTTATCTATCCTGTTTTCAAGTTCAAAGTATAAAACTTACCTTCTTGGCATCGCATTTGTTCCGGGATAATGAAAATGATCTGTAATTGTTTGTCCTCACTCCCGAAAGAAGTGCTTTTCTGAACGGAAGCATTATACTTTACTTATTAGTTACCAGCTACAGAACTGCCTCATCCGCCTGCCCTGTATCATTCACTCTCACATGTACTGTACTTCAAAGTGTCAAGGGTTTCCCATTTTACCTACACGGCAGCGCTTTGATTCCGTCATTAACACGCGACACATGTAAGGGGCCGTTACAAAAGTACGATGGTACTTGTAAAGTACTCTCCAGTATTAGTACATTAAATATTTACACTTATATAATTTACATTAAATATTTATTTAGGACCTTTGCAAGAAGAGGCAGGAGATTTTAACATCAACACAAGCTTCTTCTTTTTGCCTTTGGAAGTGGTGTATAAAAAGGTAGTTTTAAATATAAAAATATATAGTAGCATTAAATTAATCTCTGACGTGGCAGATCACTCGCGAGAAAGTAAATACTTTGTTTCCCACATTGGAATTCGTCTAGGTTTTCATATGCCAATTTCCAATTACCAAAAATACAGCATTAAATCAAAACGAATGGTAGGTAACGGAAAGATTTATTCACATTTTTACAAGTATTGAAAAGCTGAGTTTGCAACTTCATTACCGTCCTGTACTTTTAATGTAGCTCCTTTTTTGGCTGAACTTCAAAGTCCAAAACGAGTCTGTGAAATGAAGATTTATGTCAGAATAAAAGGACAAGGTAGAATTGCAGTTTGAAAGCAGTGGTGATCTCTTGCAGATATAAATGGACGTATCTCCTCTAATAACTTCCACAGTACTGCCACCGGCATTCTGTTTTTGTCATGAAAACGTGTTCATCAATTTGAACCCAACACATATTCTTAAGGCTTTTCCCCCTGTGTGTAGAGTTAGCAATGAAGAATGTCAAAGTTGGGTTTTCACTTTGCTATCCAAAAGCATCTGTCTTGCCTAGTACAGAAGGTCTTCTGCTGTAACTGTAGGTTCTTCAGGTTTTTTAGTCTGTACTTTGGGGAAATGGATCCCACTAATGGCCACAACAATACAGTTTGCTCCATGAGTAGCAGTGCTTGCTACACATAACCAGAAAGAGAAGTCATAATGCTCTTCCAAGATAATGAACTGAAAGACATTTTCCCGGAAGTTGGCCACTCTCTCAGTTAGGTGATGAAGCTTCAAAGCTGCGATGAAGCTGACAACTCCGAACACTCCAAACAGACCTTGAGGAGAAAGAGACAAGCAAAAAGTGTTAACAAAACAGCAAAGGTGCAGTAGATTGCAACAAAAACTAGGAAGTTATGTGCCATTTCAGATTATGGAAGGAATTTTTCATGGATTAGTATAGTTACAGTATATGGAGTCTGCAAGAACACCACTGTCCACCACGTGGACTACCTACAGTATAAAGTAATAAAGATAACTTTTGGTCATCTTTTTTTAGTCTGTGCAGGCAAAATACCAAGCATCAAAAGCAATATTCTTTTTGTAACTGCAAGTAGAAGGTGCACTTATATTGTATTTAACAGAATTGACATTGGTAAATCCATTATGTGGGTAAATAATTGTCATCAGCAGCGTTGATTAACAAGGGCTCTACTGTGAAAGCTGCAGGCTAGTAGTGTGTGTGACCACCTGTCATGCCCTCTGCAGCCAGAGCACGCTCCTGCTCTGTCCTGCCCCTAGTTTCCTGTGCTTTGCTGTCCTTCCGGTGTCTCTCTCTCTGGGGCTATATATTTCCGGGTCACTCATTCACCTTCACTCAGCATTGACGTTCGGATGTCCTGAAACCCGCCTAGCACCAGGTCGCCCCACGTCTGCTGCCCGAGGGCATTGGTTTCTATACGACTCCTGAACTGCTGAGCCCGGGCTAAACCCCCCATTCCGCCGCTACGCACATGGGTCTTTTTGCTCTCCTGCCTCTCCACGGTTCATCCCTTCCAACATCCGTGACACCACCATTCGAATAATCTACCTTTGCAAGGATGAGATCCTCAGAAGAATTAGCTAATAGTAACCAAATGGGTTAAATGGGTTGGAGTGACTCCTCTTATTTGCTCATTTTGTGTTCAGTCTTCGATATTCAGGCTGTAAATCTCCTGTGGGAAGCTATCCCATCATCTTGTAAAGAGTGGACACATATACACATTTTCATTGTATTTGAGTCCTAAGTGACATGCTGTATCTTCCATCTTATCTCACAGATGTTCAATGTGGCTGAAGTATGTCGAGTAGGACAATCATTATACAGGAAGTGACACTTTCACCATCTTTCAAGAAAGCTGTCATTGCATGAGCAGTATGAGGGCAGGCATTAACGAGCTAGAATGCTGTCACATCAGAGACAATTGCTGCCCATTTTTTTGATGATGGGCAGCAAATTAGGTCCCAGACCTTGATCAAAGTGCTGCAGTGTCACACAGGATACCTCTAACTATTCCAAGTGGAATGCTGTAGTGACAAGACAGTACCACATAGACCATTATACATGAATCTACCAGGTGTCATTTCTTTAGTTCTCCCAGATCATGACCCATCATTGATGAATTGTGTTCAATTGTAAATCGATATCCAATATCCATTTACTTTACGTATGTGCATAGGTTCTACATTTGTTTTTTTCCTATTTAATAATTTAAGATTATTTAGTGGTAAGACAGAAAACATAGTAACCTTTTTTCACAAATGAACCTAGACAGTCATAGATATCTCTTGAGTTTTTGGGTCTTTAATTCTGTCAGCCTCTACCTGAAATGTATTAAAAAATACATTCTGTTTGCAACAATAAAGTATTAAACCATAATAAAAATGTGACTGTCATGTTGCTTAAGGAAACTTAACTTGTAGTTCTGGGCTACCAGCAAAATATCCTAAACAAGAATGTAAAAATATTGAAATACCTTACAAGTTCATATATCAAAGCTGGCATATAAGGTTAAACTACAAAATATGTATGTTTTTTTTCCCTGTAAAAAGTATAGACTCAGCTTGAGTCAGATGGATCCTTGTCTACTTTATCCAAAGCTCAGTTTATAAATTATATTTATAATATATTATATTATATATTTACCTGCAACAAAGTTCCACAAGTATATCCCCCCTGGCCCTTTGATAGACTGATAAGGAATTTTCCTGGCATTATAAATGCAAAACCCAAAACTGATCAGAGCAAATACTATGGCAGTGAAGAGAAACAGGATAATCATCACGTGAAGTGCACCATTCAACTTTTTCACAAGATTTGGAAAAACTGAAAAAGAAAGAAAAAAAGCATAGTTAGATTTTTTTTAACTTCACTTTGTTTTACTTCAATTCATCAGACGAGCAGGTTGCGTTCCGGTTTTGAACGGGTGCTACAGTGCACCAGAGCAGTACAGCATTTGTGCATTGTGATTAAAGGGCCAAATCTTGCATTCGGCAATTGCATTGCAAATAAAACAATCCACTGCAATAAATCAGAAATTCCTGTCTCCAGAAATTCCTGTCAACCCGGTTCCTGTCTTTATCCTGTCTAGTCTCAGATGGACCGACTGGCTTTGGACTTTTCCCGTTTTGGGTTCCCCGTTTGGACTACTTCTGGATTGTTTGCCCTGGACTCACCCCCCTGGACACCTGCGCACTTTGGACACGCCCCCCCTGTTTTCATTCCCGACTCCTGCATGCCTTTTTCTGTGTTTTCCTCACTCCACCCCGGATTGTGTTGTCTGCATAGGGCCCTGAAACGACTCGTTCGTTACAACAATGGCTTATTTAATCAGAGCTCCACCTGGTTTCTACAGTGTGAAGCAGACTAGAGGGTGCGTCACTCCCTCCCTGGTGGGTTGGGTACCTACTAGGAATTACCTCCCACTCATACAGCCTGAACCCACAACTTGTCACTCATGGGTCCAGAGGCTATGTCAGCTTCATGAGGAAGATTACAAAGAAAGTCGGGATTAATCACATCTTTTTCAGCCCATTGTTTTTATGTCAACAGTCAATATGAATCTTTTTGGCAGTATCAAATACAGTAAATGCCCACGTTAAATCATCTAGGTTTTCAGAGGATCAGATTAAGTACATAAGGAAATAAGAAAGTTAACAAATGAAAAGAGGCCATTAGGCCCCTTTAGCCCGTTTGATATTTAGTCATTTTTGATACAAGGGTCTCATCATAAAAGATGTAGTCCCTGCTCAATTTTAAAAGCACTTCCATGCAGTTTCAACGTGTCTTCTGGTTTGTGTTTCAATGCTAATTTTGAGTAAATCTCCTGGATTTTGCCTTGTCAGTGCCTTTTCTGTCACAGTTAGGCTATACATTCAGTGATAAGGATGAAATTCAACTTGAATTAAAGGGGAACTGCTGTACTTCTTTTTATATTTCAGGGTTAGAAAGAATGGGCATTGATGAGTGCATTTCAAGCCACAATGTACACAATAGCATGTAAAACCTCCAATTTTCATTACAAAATAGGCTACATTTCTGGCTTAAATAAGTGAATATTTAAACCAGGGGATTAATGCAATGTTTACCAACAAAAGACAGAAAGAGTCATTTATTCTCATATCAGAAAAAATGAAGAAAACAAAACTTACTGTATATCTTGGAGCGTCGACTGCCTAGACCGCAATGCCTTATTTTGCCTCCTTGGAAAAGACCAAAGTAAATGTCTCCAACAAATTTAACCAGCTCTGGATCCGAAGCATTCACCAGCTCGGCCCCTGTCTTGCACAGGATTTTTCCAGTCACCCACTTCTCAGTAGCAAGAGCCACAACAAGCAGCACGACAGAGGCAATGCTGAGCAGGGAAGCCAGGGAAAAAAGAGTCTTTTTCAACAGCCCAGGCATTGCATAGCTTACGAAAGCCTGACCTCACTCTGGCTGACTGTAATAGGATGCCATAATGTGACTGGAGCCTTCTTGTAGGTTTGTAACGCTTCATCAAACTCACCACAAACCTCCATTTTTCTGTCCCTTGTATGTGCTTTCCTAACTAAATAAAAAGCAAATGTTAAAAACTTTCCCTAGTTCCTACTCACTACAGTCAGTATAAATAGCCACCTCAGAACATTTGGAAACAAAACCTGATTAGTAGCCTAGCGCAGCAGAGATCTCTCTTACCACACAAAGGTAATTCTATCTGTGCTTGTCTGCTAAAGTTCCATCCAGAGGTTTAATTGTTGGTCTTCCCCAGTCCAGTCTGCAGCACAAATATTCATAGGCAGCAGCAGGTTATAGCTACAGATGCTAAGACAAAATAGCATATTTCAGTTTTTAATATCAAGGCATGACTGATATACGGCATTGAATTTGTTACTTACGGTTTAATTGTCCTGTATCAGATGTCGTAGCAACTGTTATCGCCAAGGTTTCTAAATGTCATCTTAGCTACAATGCAGAGCAATTCTTCCAAACCACAAAGCATGAAACCATTTAAAAGCAGAAATGGCAGGGCAAAGTGTCAGATAAAAATGTATGAGCTAAAAGGCTTGAATATTACAAGCTTGAAATATAAGAAATTAGATTAGACACTTCGGTGAATGGATTCTGGAAGCTACAGAGCATTCTTGATGATAAAAGATGGCAGGTTTGAAAGAAGATCATTTTACAGCTCTTTAAGGTTAATTTTAGAATAAAGGCTTGGCATTTAAAACATATTTTCAGAGCCAACAAAAGCTTATCAAAATATTCAGTTTTATCTGGGCAATATATGAGAATCCAGTTCAAATTGCATGAATTTGTTGTCTATCCATTTGCAAAAATAAAAACATTTTTCTAAGACAAATATTGAAACTAAGGATTTGTGAATACAGAGGTGGAAATGCTGTATATGTCATTATGTAGTGCTGTATTCTGTAATGTAAACAATATATTTAAAAATGTCTTGGCTTTTAGAAAATATGGCAGCTTATAAACTAAATTCTTCATTCTGCAACTCTGAGTATCTGAAACTGCTAATGTGTAAAATTTGACTTTGCCTCTTTCTGCCTCTCAAATCCTATTTTGTATTTTTTGAGAGGCAGTGAAAATCACAACAGAACATTATGATGACTTTTAAATAATGTATTATTTTTGCTATAGGGTTGCGTTTCCAATTTGCTGTCCAGTCTTGGCAGCTCTCCTGTTGCCTCTGCTGTATTTTCTTCTTCCTCCTGCAATTGTACTCCCATCTATCTGCCCTCTGAGTGGAAATGGCCAGGCCCTCGAACTAACGGAGCACTGCAGAAGAGCAGGCAGGAGAAGTGGTTCAGTCTATCTCGGTTTCAGCCTGTGAGGAAGGAGATTGGGAATTCATGAGCAAGGTGTCATTAATCAGGGAGTGAGGGAGGATGCTTGAAAAAATACAGTTTAGGCTGTACTGAGGGGCAGCTCCAGGTGCTAGACAGGTGGACAATGTGATACCTAGAAAAGGGAATTATGCATAACCAAGAGATTAATGAAAGAGGGGGGAGCATTGTAAGACTTGCCGAGCATGCTCAAAGCTGAGGGAGCTAAGATGTTCAACACCTTCCTCTCCTGCTCTTGGCACATCTGTTTCCTTGGGTAATGCAGGATCTGCCTTTCCTCAACACCTTGGGTAACTTAGCCAAGGTGAGCTTTGCAGCAACAAAACAATCACTACTACATATGACAACATGCTCTTACATATAAACCCTGAATCACAACAATGAGTATGTATTTTTTTAAATATTTTCTGCTGCCTTCAGAACATCAGGCAACTCAAGAGTTTGCGACTCAAGTTTAGAAATCTCTAAAGGCATTCCTATGAAATGTTAAGGCAAAACAAAATCAAAGTCCGTGTCTGACCGCCGTACAGAAAACATCAGCAACATTGTGTTTCTTACAAAAGCCCATCATGCTGCTGGCTTAGTTGATATAACCTGCTGTACTTGACTACCCATTACAGATCAAAACACACCTGTCGGCCGTTTTTGTTCTACAAGGTTACTTAAATGGCCTCTTTCATTCTACTTAATATACCAGCTTTCCATCTTGCTTTAGCTGTGGTTCACTGTGCGATGTCTTCCATAAGATACACGCCGCGCTCCCCCGTTTTTCATTAAGTTACTTAAGTAACGTCATGTAAATCTTGGTCTTCATGAAGTTCTAAATCCGATTGTATTTTTCACGTTAAATCGCCTGAGATAAAGTATCAGTCTCAAGCAACAGTGTAATAAGACTAATACATTTAGACAAAGTGGAGGAAATATAACAAACACGATTCAAAACTATATTGCAAATTCGGACGTAACGCTTTGACTTGACATCAGCATTCAAGCGTTCACTTTAACTCCGGGGAAAAATCATCGCTATTCCCGGAAACATCGCATCAGAAGTAATGGTACTATAGCGGCCAATAGCAGATTTGCAATACAGGACAATTCTGCACTCCTGTACCATTCCGCACGCCGCGCTCACAACCGAAAGCACGGCTCTCACAGTCCTCCGCGCTGGAGGTGGTGCTACACGCAGAAACCAGCCGTCAGCGCTTCTCGGGCTGGTAGGAGGGGCCATAGGCGTCAGGCTCTCAGACATATAGAGAGCTGTGGGGGGGAAAAGAAGACACTTAGGAACATTTCTGACTTGAGCGGTAGGTCTGTCAAGTGGATTTCAGTTTGAGAATGGCAGCTGCAGAAGCGCACAGGGTTATCGTTTATGGGGGAAAGGGCGCACTCGGGTCCAAATGCGTCCAGTACTTTAAGTCGAAAAGCTGGGTAAGTAGAAGATGGGACCTGTGATGTCATCATTTATTTCGTGTGACCAGTTGAATGTTATTTGATTGATTGTGTAGGCATTGCATTTCACAACCGTGTTACAGTAATTCACTTACTGTGCTGAGTTAGTATCACCCATATCTACATAAATGCGCTTTAAAGCTTTACGACATCGAATTAGGGTAACTTAATACATAGGTGACGAATACTATTTTAGGATTTAATCATTAATATATATATATAATTTGAACACTGTTCTGATTAATATCATGACCTTATTCTCCAACGCTCTCTGGGTCTTATAATCGAAGACAAGGAGTACCATTAATTTTAAAATTAAGTGTTGGATCTATGGCACTACATCCTTCGTCTTTGGCTTTAAAGTGAAAAGTATTCGCCCACAATCAATGCGTTTTTTTCAGGTGAAGTTGTGAGATGAATGCTTATGTATTAATTAAATACATAAATCTGACTCAATGTGTGCTCTATTCTGTTTAAGGAATTTGAACATAATGGTAGTTCGGATTATGGTTCAAAGTTCGTTGATGGCTATTGTAATGGACAAATCGTCAGAAAAAAGTAATTCACATTCCTGGAATTTTGTATGAATATATTAATCTTTTTCTGTTTGTCTTTTTTTAGTGGGTGGCTTCCGTCGATATTACGGCTAATGAAGAGGCAAATGCTAACGTGCTGGTGAAAATTACCGACTCTTTTACTGAGCAGGCGGAGCAGGTAGGCAGAGCGAACACCTGCTGGGCGCAGTGTCGTTGAGCCGCTGAAAGCTGCTCTTCAGACTGTTTTCATTCACTAATCAATCACCACTCTGAGGGTGTCTTCCGTTCATTTCAGTGGGGCTTGGATCTTGGATCTTAATTTGCCTTTTTGTTATTACAATTCAGATTGAATTCAGTGCCTCGTACGGTATCTGGATGTTACATTTAGAAGGAAATAAGGTCACGTAGTGTGGTTTGACAATGAAAGAGCAAAAAATAATCCAGTATTATAATACTATATTATATGACACCCGAAGAAGGCTCCACGGCCGAAACGTTGTGTTTTCTTTCTTCTCTTTTCAGCATGGAATAAACCTATTGTTCCTTTGCAGCCTACGCATGCTGACGCAGCTCCCCACCTGAACTTATAATATTATAGCCAGGATTTGAATTGGGAGAGATTGCAGAACCTCTCGTCTACAGAAGTACTTCAAAGAGTTAACTGTTCTTTCAGTCAGATTGAGGCATTTGTTTTTAAATGAGCAAAGGTCGGGGTGCCTGTCTGAATATCGGAGCGGCTGAAATAGTGACTACAGAAAACTCATCGCTAAAAACCCGTACAGTTGCATTCTTTGACGCCAAAATGTTAGCTGCTGACAGACTGAATTAATGTAACAAAACCGTAGTGCACACCCGTAAGATGGTGACTGTTGTTACGAGTGTAACTGTTGTTAGGATGTATTCCAGGTTTTTGTGTTGTGCCTCCGTTCCAGGTTACAGCCGATGTTTCTCAGCTCCTGGGGGAAAGGAAGGTGGATGCGATTCTGTGTGTTGCAGGAGGGTGGGCAGGTGGCAGCGCAAAAGCCAAATGTAAGTCCGATTAGCTGGGCAGGAGACACCAGGTAGCTCAGTTTGCTGCAGATAGTACTCCCCAGTTTAACGGTGTGCATTTTAAAGAGTTTTCTTTTTCGGTTGACGATAAATTCCACTTCTGCTAATAAATATCGGGACCTTGATGTTTGGCAAAAGATTCAACCAGGGCACTATCTGTTCTGAACCCGTACCTGTTCTTGTTTATTTATTTTTTTTACTTTTTCTCTTTAGCACTATGTACGGCGTTCTTGGGTCTGGAAAGGTGCTTTATAAATGTATTGTAAAAAAGCTATTCAGTCACCCTGTGGCTGGTGGTTGCATGTAGTACAGTTGGGGAGGGATGTACCCTCCTCCCTCCAGTCAGTGCTGAACCTGTGGTAAGGAGGTGTGTTTCCCGTTACATGTCAGAGGAGTCTGCAGTATTATTCCTCATTCTTTCATTCTGTGTGCGGTTGTGGGGTCATAGCTGTGAGCCAATGTGTGGGGAAAAACGCCCGATTGGTGACTCCAAATTGGGTGGGTGTAATAACAATACTCAGGTTGTGAATTTAAAAGCTCTTGTGAATTCAGGTTCGTAATCGTCAGGGTTAGCCAGTTCAAGAAAACTGATTGTGTGTTAAAGTACTGCTCCCTAACGCCAACAGACATTCTGAGATTAACATGCATCTTAAGGCCTTTTTCTTTTGTTTGTTTGTTTGCCTCAAGCCTTGTACAAAAACTGTGACCTAATGTGGAAGCAGAGTGTCTGGACTTCATCCATTTCCAGTCACTTGGCTACCAAGCACCTGAAGGAAGGAGGGCTGCTGACGCTGGCGGGTGCCAAAGCTGCCTTAGCTGGAACTCCAGGTAGGATTTTTACAGGGAAAAATGCTTAACTGCTTTGCCAGTTCAAGTGCTGTTGTTACACATTACGAGTTGCTGCCATTAATGAGAAGGGTCAGCAGGCGTAGGCTGCAAAGGAACAAGTCAAGGTTTATTCCATGATGAAAAGAGAAGAAAAGAAACACAGTGTTTCAGTCTTGGACATCTTTGGGTGTGAGAAAGGGGGGGGAGATCAGCAGCTGATAAAGCATGTGAGACCAAAAGATGGGAGTGTAGAGGAGGCGGGAGCAGGCGTTTAGGAATTATATAATGCCAACATCTGTAAAGGAACAGGAGGTGGTTAGAGAGCCTGGTCTCGGAATAGATCGCTGCGAAGAGATGGAATGGCGGTTTGGCGAGAGAAGGGAGCAAGTATCCCCACAGGGAGGAAGAGAAGGAATGACGAAGAGATCTAGAGAAGGATTTACTGGAAGGCATAGTGGGCCGCAGCAGAAGTGGGCTGAGGTGTTGTGTTTCTATTCTTCTCTTTTCAAGATGGAATAAACCTTGTACAGCAGTCGGCTGCACTTCAGTGCTTTACTCCCTTGTCAGTGCCTCCTGCTGCACTTGAACCAGCAAAAAAAAAAAAGTGTGTCGGGGGTTATGTCTATAGAATCAAGCAGCCAAAGCAAATATAGCCTGTGCAAGCAATCGTGTAGAACAACCCACAGATGCTTCAGGAAATTAAAACGGTGGCTGTTCATTTATTGTAGTTACTTTGCCATTTTTTCAGCTTCTGATTATTTAATGCATTGAAGCTCAGCAGGTATGAGCCTGGCCAGTACCTGGATAGGAGACCTCCTGTTAAAGCTGAGGTTGCTGCTGGAAGAGGTGTTAGTGGGACCTGTAGGAGGTGCTCACCCTGCAGTCGGTGTGGGTCCTAATGCCCCAGTATAGCGATGGGGACACTATGCTGTAAAATAGATGCCATCCTTCAGATAAGATGTAAAACCAAGGTTCTCTCTCCATGGTTAAAAACAATCACCGATAGCTGATGTGTTTTGAGCCTACTGGCACACTTTGGCTGCTGTTGCATTATTCAGGTGGGTGCTACTCATTGGTGAGAGTGGAGGGGAGTTCCCATTACATGTGAAGCACCATATACTGTAAGCGTAAGAAATTATTTACCTAGTATTAACTGCTGGGATACATAAATAGAAAGGTTATCAACAAGAGGTCATTTTGTGTTCTATGCAATAATCAGTGAGCTACTTCTCCTTAAATTCTAAAATGTCCATGAAGTTCTGATGTGCCCACATTGTTCCTGATTTCAAAAGTAAGCAAGTGCTAAAAATATGTACAGTAATCACTAAGTTAATAAAAGCCAGGAATTCTGTGTCTCCTTAAAAGGAGGTTTTCAAAAATGTTTATTTGCCATTATTTATATATGTAATTTTTTTTTATCAATTTAGCTTTTTTTCAGGAGCCTCCAGTCAAAGGTGTTGGATATTTGAGTAGAAAGAATGTACAGCATATAAAAAATGTATTTTATCATTAATTGGACATAGTAATATGCAGTGAAACCCCTTCAGATATCCAATATTGGACCATATACGGTACATGCAATTCAGTATTTCAGGAGCTTTTAACAAAGCTGTGACTTGCATACAACCCTCAGAACAGTATTTGATGCTAAAGCTGCAGAATTTTCCCTCTCAGCTAGTTTGTTTAGGAGTCCTAGTGTGTTGGCCAAAAAGCAGGGGCAGTGACTCAGCAAATTTCATTTTGAACACATGCTTCTGGTTATTGCCTTTTGATCATTAGGTCTGTGTACCTCTTCTCTGGTCCTTACAAAAGGAAAACACATTTTAATACTGTAACATGAGCCACTGACCATTACAATGGTCAGTAATATATAACTGTGATCCCCAGTTTTTTAAAACAAAACTTTATAAACTTGTTATTTCTCACCCAGTATTTCTCAGTTATATTTTACAAGGTAACTGTGTGTGAGTGATAGTTTAATTGATAACAGATGACAGTTTGAGACATAAAAGCTGCTTGAAATGTTACCCTTGGTTTAATGGGTTTATGGTATATGCAGTTGTTAATACTTCTTGCGTCTAAAATTATTAGGCAGTTGCAATTTAATGGAATTCTGCAATTCTGGTTTGCAGAAATTTTCAAGGCTTAGATTCTTGAATTGAATTAATCGCAAAGATGTTCAATTAAAGTTGGACACTAGTGCTTTGAAAGGAGATGTTTGTGAGCCTGAATAGATGTTCAATTATTTTAGAATTAAAGTGAATGAAAAAAGTATACTTATAGTGGGTACATTAAAGCCCAGTGTAATGCAGCAGCGTGTATGTTTATGTATATCAGCTTTTGCCCTAAAACATTGGGAGAAAAGACTCTTCCAAGGGTCGTCAGGGTCCTGCAGTACCACCTGTGTGTTTTCTCTCAGGAATGATTGGATACGGAATGGCGAAAGCAGCAGTTCACCAGCTCTGTCAGAGTCTTGCAGGAGACGCCAGCGGATTACCTTCTGGCTCTGCCGCCATTGCGATTTTGCCGTGAGTAATTGCGCGTAAAGCTTGAAAATCACGAGCGCCTGTTTCTACTCTGCGGTAATTGCCCCAGAGTAAAAAAACAAATACCACACTGTAGCCTTTGACCTTTTAAAGAGAAGCTGAAGACCCAGACTGCTCAGCTGAATTACACCCATCTTTGCTGTTGACAATGCAGGCAAGTCAGGGTTTAGTTTTTTTTTCTCACAGCAATACAAACGCTGTTGACATGAGAGTTTTAATTAACATGTGATGCTTCTTTTCTGCAGTTACATCAGTAACTCGTCCCCTGTGCTGCTACAACCATTTTGTGTGTTCTCAAAAACATAAGCAGCATTTGTGCTTCTAGCTAACTACATAAATGGTCCATTTTTATAGCCGAGAAAGAATTTACTAGCTAGCCCTTTGATATTTGAACAGTTATGTTGTTTATAGCTACACTGAAATCATGTGTAAGACACATGTGTTCCTCAGAATATTGCAGCTTTAATCGTATATTCCACTTGCCTTTTTAGATCCATATTTTAAGTTTCACATTCTGTTTGAAGTGTAAGAGAAACCAGTTTTCACTTTTTGGGATCATAGGTATCTTATTTGTTGTCTTTGCATTACAGTGTTGAGTTTTTGATATTGAAATTCTTTTAGGTACTTTTACAAACAAGCTGTAGCTTAGATGTAATCTTCATCTGGATGTTTTTTGTCCTTCTGGAATGTTGTCTTGTGCTTTGGCCACAACATCTGGATAACATTACTACGATGACTTTGCAGTTCTCCTTATGAGAAGCAGATTGCTTCAGGTGATGCAGTTTTTTTTTAGGAAACTTTGCTTCTTGTTTTCGGTGGATATATAGAAATTATGCTGGAGCTGTTACTTCAAGAACCATTTTGTATTCTCCTACTGTTTTTTAGCATCTGAAGGAGAAGGTTTTGAAATGTTGATATCGCAGTAGCAATTAAAATATTTCATTGCAAAGAGTGTGAAGTTGTCCGGTCAAATGTAAAGCAGTAGTATTTTGTTTAGTAAAACTAAAAATTCAGCATACCCCTGTAGTGTTTGAGTGTTGACAAAACCAAAACATTTCAACTGTGGAGCCTTCTTCAGGTGACAAGTGAAACGTTGTCTGTTTTCCTTTCAGGATGGAATAAACCTTTATGCCAAACATTTAGCTGTTCTGGATATATTTTTAGCATACAGGATGGTATACTTTCTTATTACTTTTCCATGAACTATTGAAATGCTGTTTATTTTTAAACAAGCATGTATTAATTAACTCATTAAAGTGTATTGCAATCAAATTTTTTTGTGAAATATAAGTTGTTGTTTTTTTTACCTTAAGTTTAACATGATTTTGTCCTTGTTAGAAAATGCTAATGATTTTTTATACAGAACTCTAGAAGGGCTTGGTTATATATTTCTCCAGTTTGTTTTTTATAAGACTAATGCTTCATTCGGTTCAAAGAGCAGACCTCAGGCAGCACAACAAGTTGCGCTTTTAAAATCTAGCGATCGGCATCTCTGCCTTTCTCAGGGTTACCTTGGATACACCAATGAACAGAAAATCGATGCCTGACGCAGACTTTGGTTCCTGGACACCGCTGGACCATGTAGCGGAGTAAGTGTACTGAAGAAGATTAATCCTGCTTTGTTTCATTCTGATAACATCTCCTAGCTTTGTATACATCATAAAATGCTATCAGTCAAGCCAGTGCCTAGGATTCAAGCCGGATCTGTGTTTTCAGATATTGTTGACTTAAAATGAATGTTGTTCCTTTCATAATGTATATGTATTGTTGGAGAAAACAAGCAGTTGTTTTTCAAAGTTGTTGCATTCTAACTGATTTTTTTTTAATTTAACAATCGCGAATTGTTTTTCAGTGTATAAAGTTAATCTTAATCTTCATTTATGAAATATGTTTTCTAAAATGTAAAATGTCAACTAACTTGGATTATACAGACCACACATTCTCAGGAAAAAAGTTCTAGTATTGTTCAGTAGATTTATGACCCCTTTATGTCATGGGTTGAATCAATCTTTCCCTGAATCATTGCCAAGAAGAGCACCTAATCATGATCCTCCCCAGCAGGAGATGTTCCTGAGGATAGAATAGGTTGACGTTAAGATCCTCAGGACTGATTTAGAATCTTGCACTTAGACTGACTTGTGGGGGTTTCAGAAAATGCCTTGACCTTTTCTGTCTTTGAAAATTGAAGCCTACAAAAAGCATCAATTTGATATAGCCAGTGTAACCCAACCTACAGTAGTTAAACATTCTGTATAGTAATCCCTTACTAGGATTTTCTTCAGAGAATTATGAGTTGTATATTTGGCAGTCAAGACTGGACAAACATTGAACCCAGAACCTATCCAGAACTTTCATAATGCAGTTCTTCTTCTTTATCAGTTTATCTCTCTGACTGCAGGTATATTAAAGACATTTCTGCAATGGTAGTGAATGTGTTTTCCACATCTGAAATAGCCAGTGTATAACAGAGTAGATAGACATGCTCACACTCGCACCAGGGCTTATTTTCCTAGAAGCCAATTAACCTACCAGTATGTCTTTGACCTTAGGGAGGAAGCCAAAACACTTGAGGAAAGCTCATGTGAATGCAGGGGAACATGCAAGCTTCACACAGATAGCACTCAAAGAATTGAACCCAGGGTCCCAGCACTGCAAGACAGCAAGGCTTACTGTTGCACCACCCATTCTGTTAACTCCTTAGATAGAAATAAATGAATAGGTTTTGTTTTAGAACCCTATTTATATTTACACAAAGAGATGGAAATAAACTTCAATTTCATAGCACCCAGTTTATGCAATGCATCATTTAAAAGTCAACTATAGGTGCTAGATATTAATTAAGAAAAGAGGCACTACAATAGACTGACTGTAGATTTCAGTAGACCACCATATAGAATATTAGAGCTGGATGTTTTTGGTGTTTATTTTCTGTCATAATGAATGGTTTTAAGTGATCTACAGGCACATTTTCCAAACCCTTAATTTGATAAGATGCAAGGGTTCTTTTAGACAACATGCAGATATATGGGATTCATATCCTACATTTATCAGTAGATCTCTTATTCAACACCTCACAATAAAATAGCCAAAGCACAAAGAGAGCTGCCGTATTATGCTGTTGTGAAGAATGAAATACGAGTCAAACAGGTTGAGGACCGAGCGATTGTTGCCAGTTGTGTTCCAGTTATAGTCAAGGTAAAATGTTCAGCAGCTGAATCAGTATCCAAACTGAGGAGGAACCGGTCGTGTTTTATTAGTTATTAGATTTTTGTAATTAATTTTCAGTGCATTGGCCCAGAAAGTGTAAAGGGGAGATGTGAAATCAAAAAAGGAAAATGTGTGAGACTCTGATGTTTTTTTTTTTTCTTCTCCATCGGTTACACCCTGATTTTAATTGAAACGCTCCTTTGTTAACAGCATCAGCTTTTCTAGCTTTAGAAAAGGAAACCAAGCTGCCTTTTTATCTTTCAGAACCTTCTATAACTGGTCCACGGGGGTCAGCAGACCTTCCTCAGGGAGTTTGATTCAGCTTGTCACCACTGGAGGAAAAACTGAAGCCACTCCTGCTCATCTTTGAGATGATGATCCTGAGGGATGAACGGCCAGGTGCTCCACAGTAACACGGCAGTTGAGTTAGACATCTGTAGGTGGCAGCACCTGAGCAGAATCTGTCAGAATATTGACCTGACTTGTGTAGATGCTCGACAATATACATTACCAGAACACGAGCGCGCGCTGCTGTTGTGTCTTACATGTGCAGTACCTTCTGTGGGGCGGCCTTATTCTGTGTTGACAGCAATAGGTGGAGTATATGTTGTGATGTAATGTATTTTAGCTAGAGCCAAAGTCTACTTTCCCCTTTTATTATAAAACTGTATTTTTGTAAGTTGACCTGTGCCTTCATCTTGGAAGCGATGGCAGTATTTGTAAAAGCATACTGTTTTACATTAAATGCTCAAACTGTATCTGTTGCAGCTGGGAATAAAAACACACACCCCCGCACACACAAGTATTCATTATTTTGCTCTCCAAACACTGGGTGATGTTATATTGCTTGTCCTTCTGTTGGCATACTGTGGGGAACAGGACCCTGGGAGAAGAGCCCTTTGGCAGTTCTCCATTATATGACCTTTGGATCAGTGGAGAAGTAGATGTTATTGGAATGTGGTCTGCTGCGAGAGAGCAGGGTCCAGTGCAAAAATTAATAACAAAAGCAATAGTATTTTTTTTTATCATGGTGATGAGCTGTAGCTTTTTTCATGTTTAACTTACAAAATTCCTTTCATTAAGTCACAAAAGCATATTTTTAAAGTCTTTCTAGCTATTCCTTATTTATACTTCGAAGCATCCAACATGTACGTTTTCAATTTTCTTAAGATTTAGATGCTTTTGCAGTGACTTTGATGTATTACTATATTTTACATTTGTTTAATTAGTATAGAAGGATGCTACACTTGGGAACATGAAAAGAGAGTGTTTCTTTGATTGTTTGTGGACTTATGAGATAAGAAATTATGCTACTACTGTACGCCCCCAAATATGTTTTGAAATCCAAAATTATTTTAAGTGTAGTGATTTTCAGGATCCTCTATGATCTATAGAGGAATATTTCCTATTGACCTTTCTCCACTGTTCTTCCCATTTCTATTAGTTAATTTTGTATTGTGTGAAATCCGTTAACTATGGCCAGCAGCCATATCACCCTGCAACTTACAACTGGCA